CTCATTACTCTTTATATTTTGAATTCATCTTAATTAAATAGAATGAAAAGCTTAATTTTATCAAACAATTGAAAATTAAATTTGTATTTCATATTCATTTATTTGGATCCGTATATTCACTTTATAAGCGTTTATAAGAGTATCGAACAATCATTTTGACTATTTATTCAAATTTAAATAAATTCCAACTTTAAATCAAAATATATTCAATGCAAAGCAGTGAAGTTGTGGCTATTGACAGTCTAATGAAAAAAAAAGTGTCTGATATCAAGTTGAATGATCTCGATAACTTTCACTTTATTTTGATATGAAGTTGAGCTTTTAAAATCACTAACTTGATTTAGTGCTTTCAACATATTTGAACATATTTGATCACAAGAAATGTAGCTCCTCACTTCCAAATCGTTTTGAGCAGAAGCATTAATGTGAGTAACAATTTTGTTTAATCAAATTGAAATTTCACTTTTCTCAATTTCAAGAATTTGTGCATTAGATTTTTGTGTTTAATAAGCAATCTTTTTCCACACTTATGTATGGATGATTTTGTAATATTTGCATAAACCGCTAACTCTCACATATTTGCATAAATAATAATGACATCAGCTCCTTTCTGTTTTCTGCATTCATTTTTTTGTTCTCAAACATTTCGACAAGTTGATTTTATCTTTCGGAGTTATTTCTTCCAATCAATGACAATGGAGTATCCAGGCTGGGCCGGATTTTATCAGCCAAATGTGCCTTTTGCTCCCGTCAGTGTACCATGTGGGTTTTTTAATTCGGATTTTTATTACATCGAATAACTCAGAAGAATCGACAAGTTGAAACTAAGTCATTGTATTCTTTTAGTTGTGTATTTTAATGCCTGATGTCTTTGATTTCTTTTTATAAACTAAGTATATGAATTTTTTAATTAAAATTTTGGAGTAAATAAAACTAGTACATGTTAATCAAAATAAGCATAAATGAAGTTTCGATGGCGGGACGATATGAAATGAAATGCTTAGCAAAAAAATTAACTGAGAAGTTTTAGGATTTAGTAATCGCTTAGTTGCTTTAATTTCCAACGCTTGAATTTCTAAAATCTACAACTGTTCCCATGATAGATATTCCGGAAAGATCATTTTGGCTGCAAGTAAGGCTATGCAAATTTTCTGATGTCCGAAATCCCATTTATTTACATTTGAATATTTATGACATGGATTCGACTATTTATCAGGACATTATAAACGATTGTGGCAGCAGTGTTAAATATTAGCCAGTTGGTTGATAAGGTGACGTCTTCACAACATCTGCTTAATTGAATACCATCCTTGAATAAAATTATATATAAATATGACTTAGAGGGCTTAGAGCTGAAATTGTTGGTTTTTACAAAGGCTGAAATTTTTAATATCCAATTTTCGAAACACAAGCTTCATTATTTGGATTCTCGTAATTCTATGAAAGACGTTAAGAACTTAAATATTTCAAATTATGCATGCGATTTACCTGTTTTTTAGTAATTTCAAGTAGAAGGAATACAGCACCACCAATGTCTATGTCAAGTTGGCTGCTGAGTCAGGGATTTCTGCTTTCACCACTACCTTCTATTTTACCCAACAATGTTAGCTTTATCTCATAACTTGTGTAAATTTCAGGACTCGCTGTAAAACTCGAAATTTGAATGTTTTCTTCTTGCTGGCTTGAAAAAGTAAATAATGGGCATGTCATCGATAATGTTAATTTATTGCAGTATATGTTCCAGCCTGTTCAAAGCAATGGAGAACATTTTCGTCGTCGTCGGTCATCTCGCATTCGTGAATTGAGCCCAATCTGGCTACTACCTCAGCGAACTAGCCAGTCATTCGTACCTGTCAACAACAATTTACAATCCGCTGGAAAAATTGTACGTTTCCATACCAATCAATATGAAAATAGACGGCAAATAAATCTGTTGCTGGTTATATAGCACTATCGGACCAAAACTGCCTGTCGTTTCCCAAATCATTCAGTGAAGGTTCTTTCTAATCTGTAGGAAACCGAGCCTGATCACCGATCTTCAGTTTCATTTTATCTGCAGGTTAGTGTTGTGAATGCAGACCCAACTGGTGGCAGCAAGATTGTCACTCGACGTCGTCAGGATGGCCATCTCGACGTCCGCATCATATATTCCCGCGAATTTATTGTTGCGGCATCGGCTAGTCCATACGCATTGTTGCCACCGGCCAATTTTCGACAAATGGTTTTGGAAATGATGGATATTATTGCTAAATTTCCAAAAAGCTATTATAATTCCATTCGTACGGATAATGCCTCAGGCAGTTCTGATTAATTCATATATTGATGTTGCTTGATCTAGCTTCCTTAGCTCAGGATCGCAGCTAGTGGAGACACTTCCATAAATAGTAAAGCTCTAATACTTTATCATCAAAAACCACTAACATTAATAGTATTCAAATATAGCACAAATGATAGCATTAGTAATACCATTGTTCTTTAATCCAAAATTTCTAAATAACAAAATGTGTTTATTTTTTGTGGCTTTACTTCCGTTTCGGATTATCATTATTCTGGTGATAACAATCGGCATTATTGTTTTGCACACTTATCTTGTCATATGTATATACCATTATTTTCGGCTAATTATAAAGTTTTCTGCAGAAACTGATCACTAGCAGATATATTTCTACTATAGATGTATCAATAGGTTTTTTCTCGACTCTACTGATCCCCTTCTATTATAAGAACAACTACGCCTCCCTCATTCCTTCTTTCTATCATTATATGATTTAGTGAATTGAAAATGACTTACTATACCATTAAAACAACGACATCGGACATATACGCGGACGGACCTTCAGCATTATCTTCCAAACGTTCTGACGAACCAATGTCAAGTCGCGTGTTCGGACACGATTTGCTAAAATTATATGTTATTGATACGCCACCATTCCAGTTACTCGACCACATCAATAGTAATTTTCGCAAACCAATGTCAAATCGAGTGTTCAAACGTAGTTTGTTAAAATTATGCATTCACGATATGCTTCCATTCTGTCATTTAGTGTGATGTAAGTAACACAATAGGGAGGATTTAGGGTGCATATAGTCGAATGTTATCTGTTGGTTCTAGCAAGGATGTAGTTGTGGGATAAGATCCTCTCTTCATTATATTTTAGAAGGAATATTATAATTAGGCAATTATTATGAGGACACGAAAAAGCAGTAAAAGCTGAAGGAGGTCACTGCCTTATGCAAAAAGGGAGAACACCGTCATGGAACAGCTCTGCCTTTTAATGACTAGTGTGGATAACACTTTTAATGATCACTACAGCAATCCGAGCTAATGTAACAGAAATCTTAATATTTTCTCATATTGTAATTTATTACCATCAAGTTAAAAAATCAAAACGCGCTATAACTGATTGATTTTACTAATTCAATGTCTACTTGTCACAGAAACCTAAAATAGTTTCACTTTCTTTATTTTATTGACATATAATTGATTTACAAGTACATGTATGTCTAGATGATGTTTTAAGTTGTTTTACTGGTTGTGTTGTGATGTTTTATCTTTTACTATTCCGTAATTTTCATTTCTTTTAAATGTCTCATCTGTATTAAGGATCAATGGCAGATATATGTAGTCCGGGGCATGAGCCTTATAAGATACTCGACCGACTACAGTTACGATGTTATCTACCACACGAAATTGAGCGGATCAGCGTTCTCAGAATTACCGAAACAAAAACATTCGATGAAGTTTGTCTTTCGAATATTATTAACATTTTGTAAGTTATATAAACATAGCGCAACAATTAGAGTGGGTGATAAGTTTAAAATCATAATCGGTCACAAAATTTCCATGATCTAAATGACCAAAGTAGATTGTATGATTTGCACAGCAAGTAAGATGAATAATACAACTAATCACATTGTATCCCTTTATGAATTGAATGTAAGTATAAGTGCATTTCAATATACCACATGAACATAGAGCTACGAATATCTAAAGAGATTTCAAAAAAGAACATTGCAAAAATTTATTTGGTGGACAACGTGAAATAAACGAATTGTTTTCAAAATTCGTTAACAATGATGAAAACATTTTACGAATATCTTCTCTCAATGTAATAAATAAATTAAGCTATTGTTTATATATAATAGTGTCAGTAAATATAAAATGATTATATATTTTGATGCTTATAGGAAAATATTTATCTTTTTTATATTTAATCTGCTTGTAGTAATAGTAGCGATTTGTTTATTTACTACATTAAAATATGCAAGGCAGTTCTGTGGATGGAAGTGTTGCTTTGGCAGAATTCCTAATAAACATTCCTGTCTTAAATTTCAAATTAGATTAATTTTGTAGTGCTGACCCAATTTAACTTCCATATCTCAGATTGGACATCCAATCAGTGGTGGCCTGTATGATCCGCGACTGGGCCCGTCTGAAACATATGATACCTGTGAGACATGCCATCAACAAGGAACTTATTGTCCAGGTCACATGGGTCATATTCAGCTGGAAGTCCCAGTATTCAACCCACTTTTATTTGGTTTCACTTTTTCCGTAAGCCAAGTTTCATTTTTAGCAGATTATTTGATTATCGAGGTCTACTGACATTAACCTTCAATCAGCAGGAATCGAATAAGCTAGTAGGTGGCAGGACTTGTTTCCAGGAAGTTCTTATATTATAACACACATAGAGAAAGAGACGCATATAGTCATTTTGAGTGTGGAAATATTGATTTTTGAATAACCGTAACGGTTTAGCATCTTGCTAACTTGGATATATATTTTAAATGTCCTCAAATTTTTTTCGAGGTTCAGAGAATTAGCTATAAATATCTCTTTATTAAATATCTGTCAGTTTACCTGGGAACTATTTTAGTTAATGAATGGAACCTGTGTACAGTGCCACAAATTGACATGTAATTCATCCGGTTTGCCAGCGAAACTGCTTATGGCTCAGCTTCGAGCAATGGACCTTGGTCTTGTTTCAGTTGCGCAAGAACTTGGTGGTTTTATCAAGGACCATTTTTCTGCGGAAAATGGACCTGGAACTTTGCATGGTTCATTTACCTCATAATTTTTTGTTTTTTTAATTATGAAATTAGACGAGTTTTCTGTGGAATGGAATTGTATTGTAGATAAAAGAATTCGGTCTTTCAGCCGACATTTCATCTTCTTGCAACTTTGAAAGTGTTAACAAGTAAACGCTCATCAAAAATTATTGCTTTTAAAAAAAAGAGTGCTATAATCAGAAGTAATGTCTGGTTTTTGAAATTACTTAAAAGGAAAGATAGATTTGCACTTATCATTTTTGAAATCATTTCCTGAAATAAAAATCTTGAAATGGATCGATTCGAAGATTGAAATTTTTTCGATTCACTTTAGTGTGATTTTTAAAATTTAAAATACTAGATATTATGAGTAAGTCAAGTTAAGTGAACATAATCTTTTTAGTACCGAGGTAGTACTTTTAGTCGTATTCTTTTATGTTTTTTGAACGGAATTTAATGCTTAATCTAGGAAATGCACGAGCTCTTTCAGATGAAATTAATGCATGCAAAGAGCTGGATGATTTTCTTGACAAATTCAACAAGCAAAGAGGCTCAGATGTTAACAACAGTCAATCCTTCCCTGTCAAAAATGCTCTGGAACTGAAAAGATTGCTGATTCGGAATTTTTGTAGAGAACAACTTGTAAGTCGCCCTTTTAATATTTTACTTTATATGTTTTGAAGTTCTACGTCATGTAAAACTACAATAGTTATACTTTTAATGATGCCACAATGCTTGCTTTTTTATTTCCTACTGTGGATGCTAAAAGCAGATTTTTAAGGCTTCAAAAAGTATGTGTTTGAGGACAACGATATAGCGCTATATTATGTAAAGTGGGTTTGTAAGTTAGACTACAAACCTTCAATTAAATCAAATATTAATCCGAAGGAATATTAGTTAGAAGAAACATTTAATTGTTTCTTTATTGCAGTTTAAACACCGACAACGCTGTAGACTGTGTAATCGAAGTAATGGAATTATTCGTAATGATGGTGGTCGTTGCATTCTGATTGATTTCGGTAGAACGAATAGCATAAAAAGACTTCAAAAGACGGCGCGTTCTGCACCCCTTGAAAACATTGGAAATATCGAGAGTCAGGAAGTTGATGCTGGTAAATTTTAAATTGGGAATTATCATCATTGATAATGTCCATTTCCGGAAATAATCATCTTGTAGAAGTATTGCTGCTATTACTAAAATGTAATAAAAAGTATAAGATACAGAAGGAAAGATGTAATATTCCTGTACATGTATACGTATACGTCAAAATTACAAATTTCCAGATGAGGATATGAAAATAGAGGGAGATGAAAAAAAGTTTGATGACAAAGACACTGCTTATGGGTCATTATCGAATTCATCAGAACAAATTTTGGGAGAGCAGATGCAATGGGTGTTGAAGGGGAATTGCGATAAATTAGCTTGGAGAGGTGCCGAAGTACGAGAACATTTTCGTATACTTTGGCAAAATGATGGACCTCTGCTAAGGAAAATCTTTCCTCTGTTCGATTCTAAGGTGATTTTTCTTCTCTTTCTTTTTCCTTTAATTTATGAGTTAGAGTTATTCATCCATACTTCATGTTGCATCGCTTAAAGAAAAGCATCCCGTCAAATATTGTGTTTTTTGCAATGTTTACATCGATTTCTAGAATATAATAACTTCGTTATGCGTGTATAAAAATTATTCACTGAAATCTTTCCATGAAATGGCTAAATTTATCCGTTCTCAGTATTTTTAAAATAACATTTGTTTGCAGGATGACAAACATTGTCCTCTTGACGTTTTGTTTTGTGAAGCGGTACTAGTGCCGCCTACAAAGTATCGGCCGGTTCGGATTTTTAAAGGTGATAAATTTGAAAATCCACAAAGTATTAACCTTCGGAAATTATTGGAAGCTTCAGAAACAGTTCGAGCCATTCGTTTAGCATTATCTGGAAACAATGACAAAGCTCTTTTGGTAAGAACTTTTTTGAACACCTTTTATACAGTTCTGAACACATATGTCCTCTTGTTCATTAATTTGTTATTTATTTTTCCATCGTTCCATCGTCCTTAGAAAAACAATTAAATTTTAGAATTTGGTATCAGAAAACGTTATAGGACAAACAGTGCAAGCCAAAATGCACAATGCATATTTGACACTGCAGCAGCGTATGGGAGCTATTTTCGATCAAGACCTAGACAAGTGGACAGATGTAAGGATTCAAGTCCCCGGTATCAAGCAAATTTTAGAGAAGAAGCAGGTTTGATTTTCCTCCTACCATTTTGTCTGCTAAATTTTTTGACCAACATTTTATAAATGATACCAACTATAATTTGAAGATAAATGATATGATTGATAAGACTTCACTTACAAATCTTTCTTCATTATAGTATAGCGATTATACATAAAAAATTTTTGAGTCAGAAGGGACTCTTACTGAAATATTCTAGGTTGTTTTCAAACTATTAATTTTTTCAGAAAAAAATTGGATCAAAGTATAAACGAAGTATAGGAAGTAACTCATTTTATTATGCTTCATGTTGCAGGGTTTATTTCGTATGAACATGATGGGCAAACGTGTTAATTTTGCTTGTCGTTCTGTGATTACTCCAGATCCCTACCTAGATATTGATGAAATTGGTATACCTGAGCTTTTTGCGAAGAAACTTACTGTTACTGAAACTGCCAATGCCATGAATTTGGCTAGATTACGAAAAATGATCAAAAATGGTCCAGACCTCCATCCTGGGTATGAATTATTTTTGTTTGAAAATGATGAAAGATTATTCACTTTTTGGAAGTCATGTAAAGATCTCAGAAATATTTAACTTGATTTTTTTACATTTGGACTTTTCCAGTGCAAATTTTATTCAAAAACCAGGGCGATATACACAAGTTTTGTCAATAAATAAAGCAAATGAACGTGACGCGGCTGCAAAGCGTCTTCAGCCGGGTAGCAGTTCTCAACTTGGTTATCCTCTTCAGGTTATTTTGTGAACTTATGTATTAGCTTAGGAAATATGCATCGCGCCGCAATAAAGTAGACTTACAGCTTCTGATTCTTTTGTTGAAGTCTGGATTTGTGGACGATAATCGTATACCTGAATTTATTAAGCACTGAAATTAGTCACTTGGCATAAAGTTTCAGGTTCTGCGACATCTAGATAAAGGTGATTTAATGTTAATGAATCGGCAACCATCTCTGCACAAACCTTCTATGATGGGTCATAGAGTTCGAGTGCTTAAAAATCAGCGAGCGTTACGCATGAATTATGCAACTTGTAAAGCTTACAATGCTGACTTTGATGGTGATGAAATGAATGGACATTTTGTGCAAAATCGAATTGCGCAGACAGAGCTTGCAGAAATTGGTAAGTTTTCTTTTTTCAGTTTGTGAAACCTCATTCTGAAGTAACTTTTTGCAATTTCCACCACTGTATGATGAAGGAATGTTTTGCATACCATGTAAGAATCGAGATCTTTATTTGATATAAGATCTTTCTAAAGTAACTTCGATGACTCATCTCAATTTTGACTTTAAAGTCTGTTTAGTATAATTATCACAAAGGAAGGAAAAATCGGTCATTATACGATATTTAAAATTTACATCAAAGAAACCAATATGAGAATGGTTGAACCGTCAGTAAGCAAAAGCAAATTTTTAGCTAATGTGGGATCAAATTTTTTGGTACCAAAAGATGGAACACCCTTATTGGGTTTGATCCAGGATCACGTAGTATCAGGAGTTTTGTTAACAATTCGTGGACGATTTTTTAATAAAGAAGATTTTATGCACTTGGTGCTCTCGGCGTTTGCTGAAACTACGCAACGGTTGATCATTTCACCTCCAGCTATGCTAAAACCTCAGGTTTTATGGAGCGGGAAACAGGTGAGACTTTGCTTTAACCATACGAAGGATTTAAGAATTGTTGCTCTCAAGATCCCTGACGCTATGTACCGTAATTCAGAGAATGCTATTATAGAAACATAACTTATTTGGGCTCATTAGGTTTAAGTTCTCGGTTGTAATTTAAGAAGAAGAAATTTAAGAAGAGTCTGCTTTTCGCATAATTTCAGATAATCAGCACCATACTAAGAAATTGTATTCCTCTGCATAAACCACTTCTGAATATAAGAAGCAAGGCAAAGACGCCACTGTCGTGTTGGAAAGTTGAGGATCATCCTACACCGAAGTTCGAAATGAGTGAGTCAGAAGTTATTTTCAGGTGCACTATTTACCCTATTTTTTCCTCAGGAACATCCTTGCTTAATCCGAATTAATTAATTTGAGTTTGATTTCCATAACATATATTTTGAAATCAGAGCTAATAATGGAGTTAGAGATTTATATAGAAATGTAACTTTTGTTATTTGTTGCATTTGCTGCTGCAAATTATTTAACTGTTTCATACCGATATTAATTTGAAATACTATTTTAGACAAATTTGATTTTTCACTCTACTTTTGAACTTTTATTTGTTACGGAATAAATGCATAGATTTATTTTATGGTTCAATATCAACACTTCTCTTTTATTCTCCATTTTAAATTGTACCATTGGTTTGGCTTGTGGGTACAATTAGTTTCTCCACATTATGTCATAAAATAGATTTTTCTAATTTATAGACAAGCCGAATTGTTAGTAGGCGTTTTGGATAAGCAGCACTATGGAAGTACACAGTACGGATTGATACACTGTTGCTGGGATCTTTATGGTCATCAATATGCGACAAGAATATTAAGCTGCTTCTCGCGTCTTTTTACAACCCATTTGCAGGTTTTCTTTTTTTCGCGATTCTTATTTATTTTTTGAAATACACTGCTCATTTTTATAACATAATCTTATTTGTTTAGTTCCATGGTTTTTTGCAGAAATCAGTGCAGTATTTAGTCAACATTTATTTTCCATTTTTTAATTATAGTATCATGGATTTACTGTTGGAGTGGCAGATATTCTTGTTCGGAAGGAAGCAGATAAGCAGAGAAAGAAAGAGATCAAAGCTCTTAGGAAATGTGGTATGTATTTGTAGAATGGAAGTTTTTCTGCCACTACTAATTTCTGTGACAGTTTGAAGTAAAGCAGATTAATTTGAAATTTTCGATAAATCGACTATAAAGGAAGTAGTAATGAACTTTATCTGTGGAAACATATTGAAATGTTAGGTGATGCTGTGGTCAGAAAATGCTTCAATTTGGATGAGAATGCAGATAAGTCTGAAATAAAGCATGTGATGGCAAGTGCATATTGTAATCCGAAAGGTGAGCAAAATCATATACAGCAATTGGATTACAAGATGAAAGAAACATTGAACCGATTCAATGAAAAGATAAATAGGCATGATTTTATGGTTTTTTCTTCTTCATTTTCAGCTTCCTAAAATAATATTTTGTTCTTTGAGTTTTGTTTTATGTGATTCTCATAATTTTTAAGCTTTGAATTGAATATTACAGTGCCTGTATGCCAGCAGGACTTTTAAAACAATTTCCACAAAATGCTTTGCAACTGATGATACTTTGCGGTGCTAAGGGTACGATGGTCAATTCGGTTCAGGTATTTTTTGCAATCTACTAATAATTCTTAATTACTTATTAAGCTTGCATATTAATTGCTTTTTTCTTGTTTTGGATTAGTAATATATATCTAAAAGTGGGTTGAAATGATGTAAATTTAGTAAAGTGATTTTTGATTTGTTTGCGTTGTTTTATGATTTCTTGCAGCTTTAATCTTCCGGTTTCATTTTGTATGGATGATAGGTTTTGAAAACATGTTTGAAATTCTGTAGAATTTCAATGATGCTGTTTGTCGAAACTTTGTTCTTAACAATATCGATTGCTTAACCTGTATAGATTTAATCATTATTATATGAAAAACAAAATTATGCAAACTAATAGATAAGCTGCGAACTGGGCCAGATTGAACTAGAAGGACATCGACCACCGATGACGAGCGCAGGGCGTACACTACCATCTTTTCGTTCATTTGATTCTTCGCCGCGAGCTGGTGGATTTGTCGATCAGCGGTTTTTGACAGGCATTAATCCACAGGAACTGTTTTTCCATACCATGGCTGGACGAGAGGTTTTTTCCAATTTTTATCAGTGAATTTTCTAATCACAAAAAACTTTTTGATGTGTTTCCTGACTTTCTCGTATAGATTAGGGATGATGTTCAGTCATATAAATTTATTCAGAAAGTCATTCTAGAGTAGGTTTTGAAGCTAGTTATTCTTCACACACTGACGAGTTTTAGTTTATCTTCGACAAATGCATCTATTTTGTTTTGTTTACTAAAGATATGAAATTCCCATCGACTTGAACTTTTTGACTTGTCAAAATATCTCCTTTCATTGGATTCATAAGAATGTGATTTTAGTTACTGAATTTTTCCAAATACTTATGAAATTCAAAATATGATAGGGTTTGATTGATACGGCTGTGAAAACATCTCGATCTGGTTATCTGCAGCGTTGTATTGTAAAGCATTTGGAAGGCTTAGTGGCACACTATGATTCTACTGTCCGTGACCACGATGGTAGCGTTATCCAGGTACTTTACTTTCATCATATCTTAGGATCTTAATAGAAGTTTTAAGCTGTTCAAGTATCAGTCTGTATCAAGTGAGTTATAAGTAATGTGTTATAGTTCCGGTATGGAGAAGATGGGATGGATGTTTGTAAAACTACGTTCATGAACTCTAAACAGTTTGATTTCCTGGCTGATAACATGGAAGTGTTACGTTCGCGTGTACTACCAGTAGATTATAATGAAGATGATTGGGATTTGAAGAAATCTGAAAAAGCGTATAAGAAGGTAGGTTTCTTGTCCATATAATAAAAAATGGCAAATAATTTACAGGTTTTATCTATCTTATGACATTAAATTCCTGCAGTGATATGCAGGAACTTAAGCTTTTCGAAGAAAAAGTTTTTTGGAAATGTTGCTATCGTTTTATAGAGTAGTGCAGGTTGGAATATTAGAGCACACTTCGTGTTCTTAGTTATATGACATTTATTAGTGAATATTAGAAAGTTTTTTTTGCTAACATTCGTAATAGAAGCCAGAAAGTTCTTAGCTTAATATTCTTAAGAGAAGATGTCTCTGCTTACGGAAAATAAAGTTTTAATCAATTCTTTATTTTTGACTGTATTCAGAAATCAAATTGAAAGTTTATTCACAGTTTTTTTTTCCCTAAAGATCAAGAAATGGCGTCGAAAATATGGCATTGACAACAGAAAAATATATACGAGTGGTTATGTGGAATTTTCCAAGAAATATCGAGGTACACCAAAAGAGGAAATTCAGAAGATGTGGTTTGAATTAACCGATGAAGAGCGTTACGAGTATCATAGCAAGGCTGGCAAAGCTTGCCCGGCTGCTGTTGATGAGGTACTGATTCACTTGCTTTTGAAAAATATCGTTTACTGTTTGCGGATGCTCTTCACTGATCGGTCCACATATTTTTACTGTACTTAATTCTTTCCAAAATCTTTTGGTAGACTTAAATATAAATTTACCGCCATATTTAAAAATCATTAGAACACAATTGAATCACTTATTCAATTCATATGTGAATTATTGTTTTTTTTTTGCTGCAATTTTTTGCAAATTTTTTTATTTTTTCTATCAAAAAAATTAAGCAAGGAAGAATAAGGAATTTGCTTTCTTTATTTCTAGTGTTTTGCAGAAGATGAATCCAAATCGTTCTTTGGGTGCTTTGCCACAGAAGCTTCTTGATGATATAGAAGAATATATCTGCATGAAGTCAAATGTTGATGTTCATATGCCGCTCGACACATTTCGGAAATCTCTATACTGGAAAGGTCTTTTCTTATTAGTATATTAGAACCACAAATTGCTGGAAACTTGTTTGAAATATTTGTCATTTACTTTACCAATAACTTTAAATGATTTATTCATTTATATAAATGGCTTCAACTTTAGTAGTATTATCTTTTCCAGTTTTTATTTCGTTACTCCAAAATTTTGGTTGGAATTATAATTTATTTGGAGGGATGCGTTGTCGGGTGGATCCTGGTGAAAATGTTGGTTTGTTAGCGGCTCAGTCTATTGGCGAGCCTTCAACTCAGATGACTCTAAACACTTTCCACTTTGCCGGAAGAGGTGAAATGAACGTTACTTTGGGTATTCCTCGATTACGCGAAATTTTGATGACCGCTAGTAATGACATTAAAACACCTAGTGCAGAAGTGAGTGCAATTTTATTTTTATCTTTAACTCTGCAATGTTGACGTTTGGAAAATTTTTCATTTATGGCGCGTGTATTCATTTAATTGCATAACAATCTTGAATAATACAACTATAATTTGTGCGTTCAACAATATTTCGGACTTGCTTTTTGGATGACAAATTTTAGTTGTTAAAATGCAGCTTTTTTCTACATGGATCGAAGTAGTGACGTGACATCGCTTTGGGATATTTGTTTAAGGTTTTAGACGAAATTTGCTAATGATGATTCGACGAACTAATTTTCATAAGGTATGTTCTGGTTGTATCCTGAGTAGGAAATTTTTTGTTTCAGATTCATATAAAGCCAGGTGCATCTTCGGAGCGCATTGAAGCTATCAAAAGAGAGCTGAATCGAATTTATCTAAAAGAATTAATTAAGAAATTTGCAATTGATGAACGCATTAGTCTTTATGAAAAGTATGTTCTCGATTTCATATATTATTTAATATTAATATTTCTTGGCTCATATTTTCGAGCTTACATTTTTTCTTGATATCCATGTATTTCTTGCATTTTTTTAAAAACACGTTATTAGATGATTTTGAGGTGTAAGAAAGTTAGTTGACTTAATATTTTAATAGTATAAAATATTTAGTATTTTAGTGAAATGTTTTGTTGGACCTTTAAAAATGACAGTTCTGTTGTAAATTATTTCTGGATTCTATCATGTTGTAAATTTAATTCATTTACTCAATTGCAGTCATAGTTATGGAATCACAGTATGCTAATAAACCTGATAAAACTTAAAATTAATCTATTTATAGCGAAAGCTGGCGCTGCTATGACCTTCATATTGAGCTGCTACGAACGAAAGAAAGAGTTGAATGTACCCGTCATATATCGAGTCGTCGTATATTGGCAGAAGTGGAACGTCGATTCGTAAAAGCAATTGAAAAGCGTATCGCGGATCGATGCAGAGAGATGACTGATTATCATACATTGCAACATAAGTCAGTTCTACTTACTGTAGCTTCTTACCTAAATTCCATAAATAGTAAGCGTTTCTTTGCTTCAATGGCTTTCATTCGTGGAAGAAAATTTCGTTATAATTATATATATATGGTATGTGTTACTTTTTCTTAATTTAATGAATGTTCTTTATCAGAAAATTGAAACTGAACAATTTGACTGTTGGTGTTGGGGGCGAAGAAGAAGCACCAAAACCCAAGAAACAGGTAATGATTGCTATAGATTAAATTAAACCATTTTAGGCTATTCGAACTTCATTAAGAGATATGATGTAGTTATTCCAGTATATTATGGTTTGAAATCAAAAAACCAATTTCGCCATAGAATTGAAGTGGGCGTTCATCACTGGAAATGCTTTTATGACGAGTGGGAGGACGTTTTTTCAAACATTTTTATTGAAATTTTTCTTGAAAAGCTTGTTAAGCAAGGTATTCCAAATGCAAGCAATTTTACTATGAAATCGTGGAATTGGAATCTTAAAAACAACAAGTAAGAATAGCAGACAAAAAGGAAGACAATAAAAAGGAATGATCACTGTCTTGTAATGAAATGAAATTGATGAAAGCAGTTTACATACATTGAAATTTTTTTGTCTAGGATGATGGAATGAGTAGTGATGAAGAAATCGGTGGGGGAATTGATCTAGATGCTGATGGGAGTCGTATTTTGAAGCGTCACTTAGATGATGCTGCTGAATATGAAGGTGAAGAAGATGAGCAACAAGTTGTTTTACCACAGCAAAAAGTTGAGGTTAGTATCCCTCGTGATTTCTTATTTTTGTTTAATTTGAAGCTTATTATTTCAACTGTTGATTACTTTAATTGGTTGTCATCAATATATTTCTTAACTGCAATGCAAAATGTTCAGGAAGCTTTCATGGAAATTTCAACCGAAAATGATGATGAAGACGCTGAAACAGCAGTAGGAGGAGATGAAGGTACAAATGATTCCTCTGCTACTCACCTAAGATCTCAGGAAGCAGAAACTTCTCGCATACAGGTATTAATTTTTACACTTTAATTTTATAAGCTCATCTTCCCTAGCATCGAACTTTGAAGTTCTATTTTTTTTATTTCCTCACTACTTAGTTTGTAGCTAGCAATTTCATAGTTAACAATATCGGCTACTAATTTATATATACATTTTTTATCTTAATAATTTATTTTATTTCTTATGTTATAGTTTTTAAGTTCCGAGATATTTTGAAGTTCCGAAATGAAAATATCTCGATGAAAATTGCTGTTGATTTGTTATTATTTGTTTTAGAACGAGTTTCTTAAGGATTCTTTCGTATGATTTCCATAAGTATTTTATAGAATATTCTTGACCGTCTGTCAGGATAATTACGCTTTTTAGCCACTAAGATTTTCACTTCTCATTTTAAAAACAATTTCGAATCTTCTTGATAGATCTACGTAATAGTTGCTTGCAGAGTGTAATTGCATCATCACCTTTGATAAGGGATTACAAATTCGATGTGAAAAACAATCGATGGTGTACTATCACTTTTCAGGTATGCTTTGTATCAATATATTGCAGAACTATTAAGAGTATTTCTTTTCGAGATCATCACTTTTCGGGTCTTTAAGGTCCGCTTCCAATAATGCTTTAGTAAACAATTTTATCATGATACCAACCGCTATTCTCAAATACTCTGCTATTTATTGCCAAGTTTTTCAAGCACTGAAATCTTAAGCGTCATATTCATTTTAAATGAGCTTTTAAGTATTAATCACTGTTGTTTGTAAATGGTTTTTTAATGAAAGTGATTTAATAATTTCAGTTACCATTGAGCACCAAAACAAAATTAGATGTAGGAGCATTGGTTGAAAGAGAACTGGAAAGTTTCCTAGTCTGGGAAACACCAGGCATTGAAAAATGTATTGTTCGCTGTGAAAACCATGGTGATGATCAACATCAGATTTTGGCTACGCAGGGTATCAATGTGCAGGTGACTAATTCTATTTGTGTTACGCTTACTTTTACAAATTAGATTTATAATGGCATCCTTAAATTTTTACATGGTTTTTAATATTTCTTCTGCACAATATTTTCATTTCCAACTTTTTATTCTGAATAGATTTGAATCAGGAAGAAACTAGAAAATTAATTATTTAAAATTGAAGAAACTAATTGCTAGAAAATTTTCGTTATTTTATCGGTTTTATTTCAAGTAATTGTTACCAAATTATGTTTCTGCTAGCGTTTTAATTTTGCTATTTTGACACTAGTTAGAAATGGAATAATTATTCTGTTATTATAAATCACTTTTAGTTTAATTTATTTAAAGGGTTAAATAAGTTTAGGTTATTAAGTTAACTTGTTCGAGAAACTCATGCGTTTGAATATAACTATTTGAATATAACTCTTTGAATATAACTCTGATATATTCATTTATTTATCGAATTGTTTCATATTTTCGCTAGACTCTTTTAAACGTGGTTTTTTAGGCATTAATGAAACATTCGGATGTGCTTGATGTGAATACATTATATTCTAATAATCTGAACATGATATGTAATAATTATGGTATCGAAGCATGCAGTCGAGCTTTAATAAAAGTTGGTGAATGAAACGAGATTTATTAATAATTAATAGATGAATAATTGCAGCAGTGAATAGTAATTATTCTTACCAGATACTCTTCATCAAATTGTTTGTCTGTGTTTGGTGAATAGGAAGGGAACTTATGAGATGTGGATCGGCATTGTGCAACAGGCCTTTTTTTCTTGTTTTTTGAGTTCATCCCTACAAAGTGTCTTATTTTATCAAGGTTATAACAAAAGAAAATCTGTGGTTTGTGAGAAGATTAATATTGAAGTTTAAAATTTGTGAATCAAAATAAGTGATTGGATGTAAAGGTAAAAGGGCATAGTGGGATGATATCGGATGAGAAGGATAGGGAGCGGTGCCTTTGTGGCTTTATTAAGATTTTTTGTTGGTTTTTTACTATGGAAAACGATATGTGATATGTGATATAATAGACTCGAACAAAACAGAATTGTCAAGGTTAAAATGTACTTACTATTTTTCTCCATAACGTTGATAGCAGATTTTTAAATGACTTTAAAAATTGTTACGGATTATTTTGCAGAAGATTTTAGCATTAATAAAGCGAGTTTGAATGTAACATTTATGATTTTAGGAAATAATTCGTGTTTTCACACCATACGGAATCGATATAAATTGGCGGCATTTAACATTGACTGCCGATTACATGACTTTTACGGGAAAAATTCAACCGTTCAGCCGTAGTGCAATGAGTTCGAGTGCCTCACCATTTCAGCGAATGACTTTCGAAACAACGATCGCATTCATGCGTGATGCTCTTATAAATGGTCGGATCTCCCTCTTGTTCCCAATAAATTCCTACAAGTTTTGGTGTTTAATGTTTAAGGGCTGCAGTGATTCAAGCGCTTACAATTGCTGTAAAATGGCAATTTCATCATATGTGAATAGTTGACGAAAAGAAAAGTAAAACAGTGAGGAACAATATTATCTTGTTTTTTGAATCAACTTCAATTTGCAAAAATCGATTGTTTCAGGTGACGATGACTATTTAATGTCTCCATCATCGAGATTAGTGATTGGCGGATTATTACGTGGTGGTACCGGTATTTTTGATCTTATGTTACCTAAGCTGAATATTTTAGCTGCTTGTAGCAAATCTTAGTGGTTCTTCTAATTCTTCAGGCATTGTTTCATATAATATATTTTAAAGCTTTCTGTTTGTATAATTTAATTTGCTTTTCAACTGAAAAAGACAACTTCAGCATTTTATTTTCTATTAGGAACAGTATTCGTCGATTTCTTTGCAATTTTTACGAGTTCACTATGGTTTATTTCTAGTAATTCCGGGATTTGGGGCATAAATTTTTTTCTCCTGTTAGAATGGAACGGACTTATCCGGTTTTTTACAGTTTTTGCGAATTCTTTCAAAAAGAGGCACGAATTTTTCTGTGCCTTTTTTTGAATATTGTTTATAGCATAAATGTTATCGTATTTTATATTGTTAACAGCGTTCAAGGAGTTTGTTTCATACTTTTTTGTAATGCTTCTATTAACAGTATTTAATTCATAGTCTTGTCTTCCTGCAGTTTTCGATTTAACAGTTGTATGCTTTCTCCTACTGCTTGTTTTATTTTCAACGCGAGTTTACGTTATTGCTGCATTTTGTGAGACCAATATTTTTAATACTAACAATAATGTATACTAAGAATAATACCGTTAGGACCTTGAATAAAAATTAGTTGTAATTCGAAGATCACTGACGCGAATATATTAAAAATATTTTAGTTTATTTGAGAACTTTAAAAGTTGAGAATTAATATTTTTATGTGGCTGTTCTTGTTTGCCTTGCTATTACCAGATTTTTTGATTTTACTTTAAATTAGTTTGCCAAAGATGGTAACACCTTTCATTCAGTTCTTACTGTACCACTTAAAATTTCTCACTTGTTATGTTTCCTGATGTTTATACATAGTAATCGGTTAAAGATGAAAATAAAGTGATGGAAGGGCGAATACATCGAATAATTCAAAAGCTATAACATGAGGCATAAGACTACAGATTTAATTTTGTAATTTGGTTCAATTTCTACAACTCTTTTTCATTACCATAAATTTTAAAGGGGTTTTAAAATTCGTTTTAAAACACTAAAAGGAAAAATTATCGGGCGTTAAAATCTTGAATACATTTTAAGGAAACAAGGATGGAGAAATATGTAAAAATTCTAGAAGTTACGATTTTACGAGTGGTTTTGTGAAGTTTGTTTTCTACACTTTTTTTTCGATTTAGTACATTCCTTGATAAAACACAAACAGTGACAGTTGTTGAGTTGAACTGATCATTAAATTGATGAATTACATATGAGGGCTGTCAAGTAACGTATTTTAAAGATTCAACATTGGATTTGTCATTCATACTGTACCTGTAATTGCCTGAGATAATAAAGTAAAAAATTAACATTTCGGCGCTGGATGTTCTGATGTGGATTAATGCTTCAGTTTGTTGTTATTTAGTTCATTACATAGCAATGATACATGCAGTCGTTTGGAAAGAAATATGAGGAACTGAAACTGGTTAGATGATGTTATGAAAATGGTGTGCAAATATGAAAGAGGAATTGCTCGAAAACAAGTAAACTTCACCACGGTATTAGGTGCTATTTTGTATTTAGAGAAATACTTAGATCTTCTGAATAATGGAAATATGGTGCTGAGAAATGTCATGCGGGCTTCGTTATCATTTTCTGTGCTTTGATGAAATTCTAAAAATCAGGAGTAGTATAACGGAGCATAAAGCAAAGCTGTTAGTTCTTAGCGATCGAAAATATTTCTGAAGCCTGGAGAGCTTTAATTAGATGTCGAATATAGACTGTAATTATGCATATTTTTGTAACCGTACGTGAGAAATATGGGTTTTGAACCGATTATTTTTCTGAACTCGTCAGTTCGCCGGTTAAGTGCATGCTTTTTGTTAGAGAACTTTGACCCCTCGAAAATGGGACATCAATTTTTGATTCGAACTATAATTTTCTTTTACTTATCCAATTTTGAATCCCATTCTAGAGTAGTTATTTAGTTTTAATTTAAATTTTTTAATTTGTTTCCTAAATAACTTGGTTTGTCCTTTTATCTGTTTGTTTTGTCATTTATTTGAATGCTTGTTGCTTTATTTTTTTCACCTCTTTCGCTTTTTTTCTCAATTTTCTTCCATATTTATCCATCCAATAATGCTTGTGGTAAATAAATCAAACATGTTTTAGGAGTATATGTCACAACTGCATCTCTTCATTTTAAACTGACCTATAAAATTCTTAGATAATTCAAAATTGAAATTTAATTGAACAGGTTATTAATTTAGCATTCTTTTTTAATGCTAAATTGAAAATTACCCTGACAAATTAATCCGTAAGATACTTTCTAATGCAAACAATAACATTCTCTACAAGGACATGTCAAAAAGTAATTTTTGTTCTAAGTCTCGATGATATCATTAGGAAGAAGAGGATCGTTGCTGCAACTAGCTCATGATCATTCTGCTACGCTAAAATAGATTCTCGTTCGTAAACTAATTCATTTTATACTAATTCTTCCATTGTTGCTTCTCAATCCCAAATTGGGTGACACATCGGAGTGTATTCTCCTGCGATATCGCAGCAACTCTCACCGGATTCTCATTTGCTGTAAGTATCATACTCAAAGTATCATACTTATCTCGAGAAACTAGAAAATTTTACGGCCCCACAGTTTTTGGAATGATCCTTTCAGAATTTTGGTTTTTGCACGTATGCGCAGTCTCAGCATGAGTCTTTCCGATTTTTAGGGTATCTGTTTAGCATTCCTGCAGAGATGTATAGATTTTGAAGAAAGCCGTATAAGTGCTATGCAATGTTCTGCATTATCCACTGCGTTGCGTTACCATGTCATTTTTAAACTTTTCCCCCAATACGTCACAATGACGTTGTAGCAATAGTGGTCACTAGCTGTAACGATGGTAGTTGCTAGCTGTAGGGGTGATAGTCCTAGTTGTAGTGACGCTTATTGTAGTGTCAGTGGTCGCTAACATCTTTATTTTGAGTGCCTTTCTTCACTCAAGCTTTTTAAATTTTTTTCTAAATTTTATTTTTAGTTTAATTTTGCTGCACTATTAATTTAATTTAATTCTGCTGCAGAACTATTTACAGTATTCTGGTTGTATGATTTATAAAATGATTTAAAATTTAGATATATCAGTATATTGACATTTTTGAAGATGAGCGAAGATGGAAGCGAGAAGAAATCGGTATGCTATTTCTTATTAACTGTGTCCTCCTTTTCGCACATTTCATTTCCGTGCTTATGTTTATATCACAAATTGTTGGAGTAGTTTGAATTTTGATCTCGTGTTCTAATGGCTACTCATTCCTTCGTATATTTCTCTCCGTTCCTTTTCTCTTTTCATATAAGGTGATAAATTATTGCTAGGTCTTTAGATATTTTCACTGGCAGTTCTCTTTTTTGATTACTATACCTTTTGATGTGAAGTATTTATTTTTACTTTCATTTAATTTAATCTTTCTAATTCCCCGTTCCTTAACTTTTCTTCCGTTACTTCAGTGTCGGGAAAGTCGAGAAATGAAGCTTTTCCCGTCATCGTTAGATAATCGTTCTTCAACGCTTTTCATGAAGAGATTCTTTTTTATTGTCGTATCAGATATCATCAAAAAACGATTGCTCATACCAACTTCGACCTTCAAAGATATCGTAATTGACGGCAAGTGATAGTGGCTTCTCTTTTGTTCCATATAAAGTTTCTTTGCAAGCAATTATGCATTCTTTTGGAAATTATTTAAATTAACTTCTTTAAAAAATGAAATCTGCAAGCTTGAAATGGCGAAATGAGTCGACATTTTCAAGTACTTTTACAAAATTTCAATCGCATTTAATTAAAGTTTTGAAGTTTTATTGAAGGTTTGAAGTGTTGCATCGTCACTGAGGATACAGAGGTAGGAAAAAAATTATCCGCACTTCTTTATGCCGTTTCCGAAGCTATTGAAAAGCATTATGTAAGTAGTGAATATTAAAATACTCCTCATATGCTTGTTAAAGACATTTCGAAATCTTATAAGAATTATGCACAAGTCAACAGTAGTTATCTCCATTAATTTAGAGACTAAAATAAAGTATACATTATTCCTTTTTCAAACTTGTTTGTTACCTTTATGTTAGAAGGTCTTCTCAGAGAGACCCCCACTCGGTTTGAACATTATCAAAATCTTAGTGATTTCGAACTTAATTTGTTTATATCTACCGCCGATTTCAAAAAAGTGGGCATAACATATTTGTTTCAGTTACATGATTTCTTTATTTTGGTTTCAACTGAAGAAGCAGATAACATAGATGAAGTGATTGAAGCATATACTCTTACTTTCGCTTACGCGGATGGTGGTAGGTTGCTTCTCCGTAGGTAAGTTACAACTAATTTATCTCTTACTATCACTGATATTTCTCTTAAAGAAATTTTTATAATCAACTCTGCATAGCTTTAAAACTAAACAGACAGTTTTATAGAGCAGCAGAGTATGAGTCTTAAAATCCTTTTGTTGATTTCTCCAGTTTTTTCTCTCCTGTTGATCGGATATTATTTTCTAAACAATTACTTATTCGAAAACGTAAGCTTTCAACACATTTTTGAAAGCTGCAAGAATTTAGACCTTTTATTTCATGACAGTCGTGATGTCTTAACAAGTTAGTTTTTCTCTGGACACTGATTTCTAAAAAAATATATTTGGCATTGCAATTGGCATTTATAATGCTAATTTTCTAAAATTTGTGTGTACTAATTATCATAATGATTGCAGCCCATCGCACGAAATTGCAGTGTCATGTGAGAGTGTCACCGAATTACGAAAGGAAATCATCACTTTATTTCACCGTTTGGATATTCTTATGAATGCACTATCACCAGTCCCACAGAGCGCTTTTCCATATTTTAAGCTTACCTATTACTCAGGTTTGTGCATTTTATGACCTCAATTTTGGATACTTTAGTCTCTTCAAAGTTATTAATTTAAAATTCAGTATAAGTTAGTTTTTGTGTTTAAAAGTTTAATAGTTTTTCTTTTTGATCTTTATTTCGTTTATTTAGGACCATTCTGATGGCACACATGAGTTTGATGATGATAGTTTCAATATTGAATGCGCCATCACCGTTATTGATATAAAAAATAAATTTATTGACAGGAAATTATCATCTCATTTTATATAATTTGCAGAAAGCGTCGATTGGCGCAATTGCTAGAAAATAAAATTAATATGAAACTTTGTTTTTTCCCTCATTTTTTTACAAAATTTCAGGCACTCCACATAGTTATGAACCAATGGGTTTCAAGTCATCGTCAACTACATATCACTTCAAGAAAATGACTTTCATTTCAAAAATATCAGCTGGCACTTTCAGTACAAAATTTGAAAGGTAGGTAATCTTCCTCATCAAGAATATAGGTTGAAGTTAAGCTTAATGAAATCGTGGTTTTATTTGGAAATAACTTTAACTATTATTCAACTCTGAATTGTGAATTTATGGTTTTAAATCGTAGAAGAGAATGTTTGACTCTTCACTTTTTTTTTTTGAAAAATTTTTTTAGCTGCATTATTTGTCATATTGTATTCCCAATTTTTTCAGAATTATCTCTTTATGAAAAATGCTTTGAAAAGTGGGATAGATAAGAAAATTAGTCAAAGAAAACTACTTTTTTTAGTTGCTCGGTGTGTTTGGAGTCCATTTTCTTTGGGAGTGCAAATGAGCAATATGAACAGAATGCTTCCATTGAGAAGGACGAACTGCAAGTAAGTCTCTAAAAAATCAAATCACATATCCCTCTAAAATGGTAATTAGCAAATATCTGCTAACATTAAATCATTTTGCGAAGTCTAATCGACCACTAATATTAATCGCTGGTGGTGGTTGTATCCAATATCTTTTGAAATGTTAGATATGAGTAACATGCTGTTAGATACGAGATCTACATTCTCAACTTTTACTTGTACTTAGATAATGGGTAAAGCATATACTGTTCAATTTTCAAAGGCGAGGTCTCTACATGTCCAAATAAATCTTGGACAATCTAATCATTCAACTGAGCGTTCTTCTGCTGATAAAATGATTAATTGTATATTGAAAGAGCTGAATGAAAAAAAAACTTACAGTGCTATTCAAAAATACTGCTCTCTTTCAACTCGCTAGTTTTGCCGTTAGTAGTTCGAGATGATGTTCAATTGGAAAAGTAGTTAATGTTTTTTGAATATATTTCTTTAATTGACTCGATCAAAATGATGTGCTTAATTTTATCTAACTTCTAAAGTTTTCAATAAGCTCGTAAGCCATAATAATCTATCCATTTTCACTGTTCGATAAAACTTATCTTTCTTGAACATTATGTAATAATGTCTTCTGATTTATCCGCACTATCATGTCTATTTTCATTTTTTTGGAAGTTGATAATGTTATCATTCTTTTCAAAAACAAAAGTTCCGCCGAATATGTTTTTTATCAAACCAACTTTTGCAGACGCTCAAGAGAATAACTAGCGAAACTCCGACGGGTAGACCAAAGAAGGACAGAGTGACCGTTTGTTTTTTATGACCATTTTGTCTTTGCGGTTTAAATTGTTCATGGCTTGTATGTAAGCTGCACTTAGTATTTTGTGATGTAATTTTAAATTTCAGAAATCAAAGAAGACAAACTATGGTGGAAAAGTAAGACAAAGGAAGAGTAAAGTAAATAATAAGCTCAGTTGCTGGCATTCAGTAGCCCCCCACTGTTCAATTATGCCTAAAAGCAATAGTAATGCATTTTTTTCGTATTAACAATATCGCTTCTTAAATATTCGATGATTAAAGTTGTTCCAGAAAATGATGGAAAATGAAGATAGCAGACCAGAATCAATGAATTTGCGCATTTCTTCACTAGAGGCACAAATGGAAGCTATGGACGACGTTTCACAGGAAAATACTGAAATTATTGAGTCGATGCGAACCTCGCTTTTAGAAGACGAGTCTTCAAAAAGTAGCTTTTTCTTATTTTTATTATGATTTAATCGTTGTGTATGTGTGAGGGCGATATCTTTGTAGAAATATTACTTAAACGATTAATAAGGTTTGTTTTAACATGAACGAAAATTTATAAAACATAAAGAAATTATATATATTATTTTGAGATTCAATGAATAGATGTAAAAATTTTACTTTTGTCTCATTTCCATTACAGAACATTCCAAAGCAGTCATTTTAAGCTCTGCAGAAGCATTGGTCAGCACCACAGATTTGCAGAAGAGTGATTTCAGCTCTGAGTATCCTGGAGGTAGTTTGCCTTTTCTGAATCCCTGACTACTTAAAACGATGTTCGCAGTATTAATTTGTCGTTATTATTTATGATTTTCTTTCCTTAATTTTTAGTTTGATATGTTTACATTTTGAATTTTTGTTCGTTTATTGATTTCTTACTGCTGCTACTGACAAAAAATTGTTTTAGTGGGAGGCATTTTACATCTGTTTCCATTTTACTGTAGGTAGAATTTTCGGCAGATACTATTCGAATTTTTGGTGAAAGATATGGATCTGGGGAGGTAAAAAGTATGTAATTTGAAGAAATATCCTGCTAATTAAATGTCGCAGTGTATTTTAGAATTATGAGAATCGGCACTGAAAAGTTTTATCTTTATTTTTTCTTTCTGCTTTTTTACTTTATGTTTTTACTTGTTTTGTTTTATGCATAGACAGCGAAGAAGTCCCAGAAAGTTCGGGACAGTTCGCAACTTTCGGTTCCCCGAGTGATCCTTACATAAATTCACCGCGTATGGATTCTACCGTTTGTAAGTTGATAGGAGAGACTTTTTTTCATTTCTTTTGAGTCCATCTTCAAGGCATTGCATCTTTACATGATTTTCTGGCGCGTGAAGCTTTATGGCTTTTAAGTTTTGAAAAATTTTGGCATTTAAGTTATATCATTCATTATATTCATTTATTCTTTACTAACACTTTGGGAATTACGAAATTTCAACATACTCGTATTTGTTTCTCATTCTTTCAAATTTAGCTTTACCAACAGTCACAGAACTCGTTTATCGCGAACCCACTCTTAAGAAAGACTCAAGCATTAGAAGCCCGTCGTCCGGAATTAGCGTCATTGCCGAGTCAGACCTTACAAGGTAAGCCAATGTGATTCTCTATTTTAGATTCTCTATTTTCATATTTTCTTTTAACAATACTTTAATGAAAAGTCGATTCCAGAGAATTGTTCATGCGACGCAGTTCAAATTTTGGGACATCCGCGAATACCGAACCAAAGCCAAAGAAAATGAAAATTAGTCGTTCAAAAGTTGACTATCATAAGGTAATCGATTGCAAATCCATATCCCAAAAATTTACATTGATATTCATTCACATTTCGTACCATGCAGATCCGAAGTTAGGTATTTGATGTATCGTTGCGAAGATTATCAAAATTATTATGAAATTCTTTACGGTAATAATTTTTTGCTCAGTAAAAGGAAGGACAGTGGCAGAACTAGGCAGAAGAATAAAAAAAGTAAAAGGTAAGGAATATGAAATTAGGGTAAGTGAAATATTCCAATACTATTCGAGGTCCCAGCAAAAATTTATTAAGAATATTAGCTGTAAAGAGAATTATTTTTTCAAAGTTTTCTTCGAAAAATAAGGTTCAGAAATAAGATTTTCCAAATTTTTTTCTTCCTTTAGAGTCAATTAAGAACTTCATGGAAATATTTTCAATTCTTCTGCTTGCAGAAATGAACTTTGGAGGATTTATTTGGAGAAAGTTAAATGATAATAATTCAGCCCTATGAAGACTGATTTTTATGAAAACTCCCTCAAAATAATTTCAAAATCAAAGGATTGATTTCATCTACATTTTTGATTTTAGTTATTAATAAGTTTTCTTTTAGTAGAAAATTTTAACCTTTTAATGTTTAACGTTTGTTTGGCCACTTTCTGCGTTTGTTTCTCTTGAAGTTCCCGTAATCCTCTGGAGTGCCACATGTTAATGGAAGAGGTGTTTCCATTGAGTTTAAAAGTGCATGAAGATTACAAATTTATAGTGTTGAAACGTTTTTATTGAAGACATTTCATAGCGCTTTATGGTGATTCGGCTAACGTTAACTCATATAGATATATGAGTAACTCATATATCTCTCTTAACTCATATATCTCTCTTCAAACCTTGCATCCTTCGTCCATATTGTTATGATTTTTGTTTTTGAAGTGCTTATTTCAGTTTAAATTAGATATTTAGTTTTTGTCCGCTGTTTATCTGTGGAAACTTGCGATGTATTTTTCCATTATTTGCTGTTCTTCCCACTTAATGGCATCCAAAAGAACAGATGCTTTGTTTTATTCCTTCGTTTTCGTGCTATTAGTCCGTCTCCTATTATAAAATGGATTTAAAAAATTTGTTACTGATTCCTTTAAATCGTTTTAGTTGTGATAATAAAATTTTCTTGTGATTTTTCAGCTTTTTATTTGCATTAGTTTTGTTTCAAAAATTCAGGTTTTGGCATTCCTTGTGAAATAAATATTGAAATACAAGGTAAAATCGATGAACAAGAAAAACCATTGCGAAAAGTGGTTATTGTGAAAAATAGCTCGAATTTAAAATGAACTTATTATGAAGTGTTTGTGACGATTGGTTGAAATATAAGGAATTCTTCTGCAAAATTTTTTTGAAAGATTATGCAATCGCAAGTTGGGAGCATAAGTTTGTTCGGTCATTGTTTGGTCGTAGCTTCAGTCATTGTTTCATAACATTTGAAGTGTCTTAATTGTATTTTTCAGATTTTCCCGAGTTCCTGTGGAATTAGGCTGTATGTGAAGCATTAGTTTGAGGTAGGAATATCACCAGAAGATAAGTAATATGGCATTGTTATATAACAGTTTTGCAGCTTTTCTAGCAATTTATTGATTTGTTAGACCAATGCAAAATTATTGTGATAGAGAAATTCTATTCTAACAACATTTGAAGACGTTTTACAGGTTTATGACAAAATTTAACGCTCTAATATACGATTTTCGTTTTGGTCCCTACCATTTCAATTCAATGATAATTGTTAGTCTGCGAGTTCCACATCACATACCTTACAGATGATCTATATAGTAGGCCACTTCTCTAGACAGAAATCAGGTGTGTGTATGTCAAAACAATTTCAATATTTCGATTGCTAATTAAGCTATTCACCTCGTTTTTTTCTCCCTGCCACGTCTGTTTCTTGTAATCTTTTTTTAGATTTTGTAGATAAGATAAATTATAATGATTATTTAAGAATGAAAATATTGTGGTGGAATACATCTTACAATAAAGTACTCCATCTGTCGTTGATTTTTGCTTTGGTGCCATGGTTGTATAGTTATTTCAATGAGCAACATCGGAAACACTCTTATTCAGTGGAGCAAGCTGTAATGCTAGCATGGGATAGAGTGATTATTCAACCAACAATGCTTTTCCGGCGGGTAGTAATTGGGTTTGTTTTTATTTCTCTCAAATTGCTGGGACTTCGTGTTTTTTTGAAATGCTTTGAAGTCACGATTCAAAAAAATTTCGAGTGTTTGTTCTGGATTGAAAGATTTCTTCGTGAACAAATCACTTTTTAGTTTCACTTTAAATGTTTGAGTAATATTGAAAATGATCTCCACAACTTCTATTTACTCTGCCTTTTACGGTAGCTTTTTGAAGTTTCCAGGATTAACTGCAATGTTGATATAGTTGTTACTGGAACGAGTCTACTGGAACGCTTAAATGGTACTTCCACCCATCGCAAGGACCATGAAGTTGTTACATTTAGTATAATCTTTTATAATGTTTTTTTTTTTTTTTTTTAATTTGAGTTCTTAACTCTTCAGCGTTATCTACCATTTCTTGGTGGTAATGATATTTGAGATGCTGAAGAATTTTGCATTTCAATAAGTTATAATTTGCCTTCATGGGTTTTCAGAAACTAAGTATTGCAGGATTGAATGAATAAAATATTATTCTTTCTAGCCACATAGTACTCATATTGGAAGGTTAAAAAGACTGGCGAACATCCTGCCAACATGAAGAGTGCATAAAAGAAGAAGAGCAATGATAAATTTTTAGTTTAAGTAAAATTGTTTTTAGATCATCAGCAATGTTAATGATTTGTATGAATCTTTTGCTTACTTCTTTTCGCGAGGTGCTGCTGCCGAAAGGTTATTTTTTGCTGAAGGGTTGGCGAAATTATTTGTTCCAGCTGTTACTGTTGTTTTACTTTAATCAGCGAGATTTCTTGAAGTTAATACTTCCCAATTTATATACTATCCTAGACATGTGTCGGATCCGAAGATGTTTCAAACACTTGTACATTTCGCCGGTGAACCTCGTCATCGACCTCATCATTATATTGGTGGGAGTGCTGCCTTGATGGCTCAAAAGATAGCTACTTCTTTTCCAAGAACTACTGTAAGTCTATTTTTTTCCCAAGAACTACTGTAGGTTATGCTCCAACATATGCCAAAAGTAATGAAGTTTGTATGAAATGAAGTTGCTGTCTTTTTTGTTTGAAAACAGTACAAAATTTTTTGCTTCTGTGGTATTCATTCCATAACTGTCATCTGTAAAATTCGACGGGCAGGAAAGTCGACTTTCTCTTATTTCTTATTGCTCTTTTCAATATCTTAGGCATATTTGGTTGGACCTATTGGACCTCGAAGCCAAGTCTTACTTCATCCATCAATAGTTCGTACGAATTCGACTCGCATCTTAAAAGATGAGTTGCATGTCATTATAGAATACAAACGAGGCGAAATTCTTGACGAATACGTAGCACCTGCTTCATCACGTTTCATGACTTCGCACGATCAGTATAGGTGCGTTCAGAAAAAAGTTTGATAAGGCTTTGATTTGCGTATTAAAAACTTTGTCTTTTTGAGCCGCCTTCTTAGAAACTGTTGAAGGCTTCCTGAAATTCAGTCTTTTTTGGTTTGTCTTCCTTTATTTACAGCTATAATTTAGTGGCAGTGCTGTTGTGATTGAAATGTTTTTCAAAGCGATAAATCAATTTAATCCTGATTTGGTCATTTTAGCAGGTGTTCATCTTCTACAAAATCAAGTGAGTTTGTTTGGTTATCCAGTTTAGCTAAGAACTTTAAATCTACAGCTAATCATGATTTTGATGTTGAGTTAATTTCGTCTTCTGTGTACTTATCTTTTATATTTTGGTATTGTAGAATAAGGAAATGCAAATGGAGAAACTTCGTTTAATTAAGCGAAATCTGTTGCAAGTAAAACACAATATTCCTATTCATTTCCAAGTTGGAAATATGGGTAATCCTGACCACGTTGCTGATGTTCTTCATCGAGTTTGTTTTTTAGCTCTAAAGCTTCATTTATTATTAAATTTATTTGTTATTCGCTTTCGCGAGTAGTTTGTTTCTTTACGCATATTGATATTATTGATAAATATATGTATGAATTCCATTTAGTAACAGGGTTATTTACTTATTTACTTACGCCATATCGGTCATTGTTCGTTTCAACTCAGAGAAATGTGTTCCATTGTGTAGTGTCTCAATTTTCCCTTATGTAGTAGTTAGTACATCGGATGATATTCTCGTTCCATCATATATTGTCACGGATATATTTGATTTGTACTTTGAAAAATGTCCGTAACTTTATTAAGAGGAATACTTTTGTTCAGATCGTACCTCACGTTAATTCGTTAAGTTTGAACGAACAGGAGCTAGCATTTTTCTCTCATGTTGCCAACGGACCATATACAGATCTCTATCCTGTTTTTCCTGGTGCAATACACGTATATAAGGTGAGGTATTGTTAAAAATTTTAGTATTTCGCCATCCAATGTTATGGATGAAGTGCCGTTGCATTTCATTAATAAAAATCTACTCAACACTTAAAAATTTGTCTAAATTTTTATTGAAGGTGGTGGATATGTTGTATTGGTTGCTGACGAAATTTGGACATAATAGTAGTGATCCAGAATCGAAAAACCATCAATACAGGCTGTCCAGGATACACTTCCATTCCTTAACCTTTCACCTAATGGTAAGTTTTCGCAATCAATTGTAAGCATTTTATCAATCTTTGTTAGTGTTACAGTATGTGAGATCTGGCTATTTCCCAAAAGGCTTACATTCTAAACTGCCTCAACTTTTCATTTTAAAAGTAAATCTGATTCTAGCTTTAATAATGAACTATAAATTAACATTCTTGGTAATATTTTGAAGGTTTACAAAGGGACAGATTGGTCGAACTTAGCTTCTGGTTTAGCAGCAGGTGCTAAGGTTGCAGCTCATCATTCCTGTAAAATTACGAATGATTTGCATACGGATAATTTGGAATTGAGAATATCGAAGACTCATTTGCTTGACAAAGAAGTCGGAAAACGATATGTCTTCGAACCGCAAAGGTGTTTTTTTTGTATCTGATTCTTGACAAAGAAATGTAGATTCGAAAATCGGACTTTTTGAAAAATGCAACTCAATACTTCCAGACTTACTTGCTTTATGGTATTCTGTCAGCATTGAATTTTTAATAGAGGCTATTCCAAATGTGATTTTGAGTTTCAGGCCTATAGCCTCATGGATGCGTGATGACGTCATATTTATCTATACTCCTGCGCTAATATGCAAATTTCCAACCAGAACGGTTGGTATTGATGATGCCATCTCAGCTACTGGACTAATATTCTCGCAGTTTTATCGCTTTTCTTCCTGACAAACCGATGTAATCATATAGTCAAAAACAAGAATATTGTTGAAGGAGCTATAAATTAATTTCTCGGTGAAATGAATAATTAATTTTTGTCATATTTGTTTAGATTATAGAAATTTGATGTTTTCTTTATTATGAATGATGTTTTAGATCTTTTTTCAACTTTTGAACATAAAAACTTATTACTGGGGCGTTACATATGTACTCTTAACTTTTCGAATCTAATGAAAACGCTTTACAGATTTAATACTTCTTAAGAAGACCATGTTACAAGCATAAGATGCACATCTCAGTTGAAATGTTGAAAAAATTTTTTCTTCTCATTTCGTTAACTTTAAAATTAACAGTTTATATCTCATATTATTTTTTCATGATTTTTCTATTTTTAAAAATTTATATCTTTTTTTTTATGTTTTGGACTTCGTTTCTTTTTTCAATATATCTGTGACGTGTTTCATATTTCATCTTAGTATATTTTTGTTCGCTATATACGAAGTTTTCTAATCATTGAATCACAGGGTATCCCAATGCTTCTTTGTATGTAGCGTAGTTTCTATCAACATCATATTGAGTCACGGGGCATCTCGATGTATTTGTTGTATGTAGCATGTGTTCATAGTTTCTATTAACTTTAATAAAGTGTTCATTGATTTTGTTCCTTACTTCACAAAGTTGTTGTAGTGAATTCGCTGAAAATACCATTCAAATAAGAATAGTTGGACCGAAATTTGTTTTACCGAGGATTTGACATATCGAAAATGTGAAAGGGGAGTGCTTCTTCGGTGCTAAACTTAAATTTAACATTTGTTAAGTAATATAAAGCAATGTAGTAATAGTTTTTCTTCGTGCATTTATGATTGCTTTAAGCATAGTCATTATTGTTGTGTCGCGAAATTGCATTTCTACAATTTCAGTGCTTGCAGTACTGAATAAGAATTTGAATGTACAATTCCCAGACTCAGGAACTCAAAGTTCCATAGCTCTTATCACATTTCAGGTTTTTGATTGAAATGGCGTTCTTCAGAAAGCATACTTTATTTAATATATTAAAGCAAATTCGGCTTAATGAAGGAGCTGCTAATGGCAGCAGTGGTGGGTCGGCGAAATGGTTGGATGATGCTGTAACTTATGCCGATGTACAAACGTCTTTTGTGGATCCATGCACTTCATTGCCATATCCGGAAAAGGTAACCGTTTAATTCGCTACTGATTTTTTTTGAATGCGATGTCTATTTTTCAATTTCAGTCCACTAAATTTGGTGCAGATTATTAATTTTTCTGTTTTAAAAATGGTTGTCATTCAATGCCTTCCTAAAGTTCCTGTGTTTTATCTCTTCAAACTACGTGGGAATAGCATGAAAATAAGAAATGAGTGGTTCGAATCTTTATGATCCATATTATATTGTTCCGATGTTGCATTCCATTTAGTTTCACGAATATGTTGTTCGTACTAATATGTTTGTACTTTTGTCATAGTCAAGCTTTACTCTTACTGACATCAATGCTAGTAAAAATCATTATACACTTTCAGGAATTACACCGGTTTTTAGAAAACAGAGCACCGAAGGTAATAGAAAAGACTGATAATAAAACTGACTGCAAGAGAAGCAACATCGAGAAGCTTGATTTTAATCAAATACCTATTGAAGAACAGGTGGTTGTTTTATTTCCTGGTCAAGGGACTCAATACGTCGGTATGGGTAAAAAAGTAAGCTAGATTTGTATGTTTAGTTTTGAGTTTCTAATGTAAAGGCCGAAATATTGTATGAGTCGCAATTCAATATATTTAGGTGATGGACTGTGGCAGAGTAATTGATGTTTATAAAAAAGCATCAGAAATATTACAGTATGATTTGTTGAAATTGTGCTTGGAAGGTAAGTTTGTTTAATATACTCAATAATTTTAATTCTGTCAAAAGTTTGGTTGTGCGGTCGTTGAAGAAAGATTATTTGCATAATCAGGTTGGATTGGAAGGAGTTTGTTAGTCATTCGAGGAAAAAAATTTCGAAAATGACCAACAAACTTTTCTATTCTACCTGCATTACACAAATAATTTTTCTAAATCGATCTGGTACTTTAGTGGCTTAAAATACAATATAAGCAGCAGAGTTATTAAAATGAAAGTAGAATCGTGCATACATTTCCGAATTGAGCTTTAAAGTTGTGGATGTATTTTCAAATTTGATTTTAAACAGCTTTATAAATAGGACCAAAATCGAAACTCGACCAGACAATTTACTCTCAACCAGCCATTTTCGTCAGTTCGTTGGCTGCATGGGAAAAAGCAAAGACGGGAAATGAAACACTGAATGATCGTACGACTGACGTAGCTGGTTTCAGTGTTGGTGAATTTGCTGCATTTGTAGTTTCTGAAATACTTTCTTTCGAGGATGGTAGGTTTTGCTTTAATAACTATTTTTTGATTTTCTCATTTAAACTTATGCTCTTTTCTTGCTACTTTGACTAGATACCATTAAGTTTTACGTGTCCATTCTTAGAAATCTCGTTTAATTATTCACTTTTTAATCCTGTACTACTAGTCGTTTTAATGCCATTATTATTAATTGTTCTCTGAAACAGTCATCATTTTTAATTTTACGATATATTCCCGAGATAATTTAACGACGAGTGATATTTATTGTTAGGTGAGGAAGGAGTAATTATTATTGTTAGCATTTAACAAACATTTAGCTTTAATTATTTTCATTTTGCTGTCAAACTGCCAACTAATGCTTATTAAAGATTATTATGTTTAACCTATATTGTACTTTTCTACCGCCACAGTTTATCCTTTATTGAAGACCGAAGTCCTACTATTAAGTTTATATGCAACTGCGGGTAAAATGCTAAATAAATGTGACTGATTGTAAATCTTACGCGCATTTTTGCAATTTAAATTTTTAATTGGCACTGGAATTTGCTACTTAGTGATTGAAGTTTTATAATGATAAAACAGTTTAGTAGAAACTCTATCAGATTTACAGCTCTTCGACTGGTAAAAATTCGCGCTGAAGCTATGCAGCAGTGTAGTTTGCGGTATCATTCTGGGATGATAACGATACGGGTAAATGCGGCCACGCGATTGGAGGAGGCGCTGCAAGATGCCAAAGCTTATGCCTGGTTCGTTTACATTCTTTTTTACATTACTACATTATTCTTATAAATATATGGTTTGATACTAAAATAAGAATTTTTCAGTTTATGCAGAATTTAACTTTCTGATATAGATTAAAATATTGAAACTTTAAAATATTTCTCGAAACGAATATAGAGCATTTAAAGCACTAAAATTTTAGGGAAAAGGGCGAGCTACCGATATGTGAAGTAGCCAATTATTTGTTTTGCGGTGTGAAAGTCATTGGGGCATCGGAAAATTGCATTGACTTTCTGAATAATAATCAAGAGAAATATATTTTTCAGGTATTTTTGTGGAAATAATTCTTTTAAAGATATGAATAAACTTCGGACGTGAGTGAAGCAGTTGTTTTTACGTGAATATTGATATATTATTTCTCGTATTTTATTCTATTCTTCTTTGTGCATTTCTTTACTGTCAATGTTTTTAGGTGGTGAAAAGATTAAGCGTAAATGGTGCATTTCATACTACCTTAATGAAAGATGCTGCTAATACGCTGAAGAGTGCCCTCAAAGGTTGGCTACATTGCTTAAAGTTTGAGATTTTGTTGTTCTTTCAGTATTGTTTGTTTCAATTAAAAATTTCACTAAACATTCGAATTTGGAAAAGACTATTGTTTTAAAATTTTGTTGAAAAAATGAATTATTATGCTAATGTTAACTTGCTGTAACTACATGTCCGTTTTCGTTTATCTATTTTTTTAAATTGTTGATATTCTGAAACTTACTGCTTGATGGATGCTGTGAGCTAAGCTTGTCATATTTTATTTATTAACTACAAAAAAATTAGGTGAACTGTACATAGTAGAAAACAACTCATTTGAAATGTTGGGATGTTGTTTCCTTGGAAAATGAATTTAAAATTTTTTGTTTTCAGATGTGAAAATTAATCAGCAACCACGAATGAATATTTATTCAAATTATACTGGTAAACTGCATATATACAAGGAGAAACAGATTCGTGAAGCAATCATTAAGCAAGTTTGTTCACCAGTCAAATGGGAGCAAATCCAGCAATTACTTTATGCAAAACACCAAGTAAATCATTTACATTGCTCTTTGCTTGTTTTGCCTTAATGCTTATTAATTTTTGACGAACAAATGGTTAATTGTGGATTGTTCACGCTAATCTAATATAATTATATTTTCTGAGGTAAGTTATTTGAAAGTACAGGCTTTTTTCCACTTACAGAATAACATTTTTCGTTACATTTCTTCGATTACATTTCAGGACTTCAAGTTTCCAACATTCATGGAAGTAGGGCCAGGAAAACAACTTGGTGCGATGCTTTTGAAAATTAGCAAAAAAGCTTACGAGAACTACGTGAATTATCCTGTGTAGATCTTTTTTGTAAATCATGTACTTCTTCACAAGGATCTTTCCTGTGTGAATACCTTGACATTTTTGAATTTGTATAAATATGTCAAGGAAAAACTTAGTTATAGCAAAATGAAATGCTGAGCAGTGAAAAGGTTACACTTGGAATGACTTGAGAAACACCATCCGAATTCATAACATTTTCCAAATAAGAATTACGTGACTGTGAAGACGAAAAAATTAACCGTTTTTGATTGTTAATTCGACTTTCAATGGTTAAGTTGAGCAATTGCCGACAGGAGTGAGGCAGTTGATCACTTATACCAAGATGACTGTATAGTTGTTCAAAGCTGAAACTTTTCCTTCGTAATTTCAAACTAAAGTTCATTTGAAAGAGAAGTCATTTTCAAAGCGACTGTTTAATTTATATCATCTCATGCTTTGAATTCCGAATTAAACGTTATAGAATTATGAATTAGAAACTTCTTTGATTGACTGGAATTCGGAGTGTAAGAAAACATAATTTTTCACCATTTATTGAATTCCGGCTACTAAAGAAAAGAAGAACTTGAATAATGGTCTGCTAAGAATTCATAGTTGGAGACAAAATATAATGAGATGATCATAAACGGAGAAAACTAAAACTTTAAGGAAATCTTGAATGAAGCAGATTCTATTTGTTTTAGATCAAAATTCGCTGTTTCTCATTATCCTACCTTACCTTTTTCCAGATTTTGAATAGTTATTCTACTTTTTTGTATTAACCGATTGAATCGATAGGACAAATTCACCTTATAAAACCAACGGTGATGAACTTGAGCATCATTTTAGCTGCAGCTTCGCCGCAGCCACTTCGCGTGATCGGTTCGATACATTTGATCATATTTGCCAAGTCTCTGAATAAATATTGAAACATTTTTATATTGTTGAATGTTTAAAGACACTAATTCTTGGATGAGTTTTAAATAACAGTCTAGGAAAAAGTTCCCCCGCCCAATGCAAAAGTCATTTTGTGATTATATTTTTCAGAACTACATAATTAAAAATCACCTGCAAAGGGCTTTTAATCTGCTTTGAATATTGTGCTGTTCACGATTAATAACAGCTGCACTGAATGAATTACTGCCCACCAACGATTGATTTATTTCCTTTTGACATCGTGACATTGCCACCGGTTCATATCTGTATTTGTGATAGGACAACATTGTAATGAAAGTTAATATTACTGACCAAGTAGGAGATTAATGATTTTTTGAGTATATTATTTTATAAAAAGATAAGAATTATTTTTCTCTGCCAATCAAATTTTTAGAGCTTCAATGGGAAATGCAAAAAAAGTGAGGAACTTACTGAGCGAGACATGGCAAATTGTTGAAGAATTCTGAAATTGTATTTATAACATGTTTATAACGCATTATAGGTCATTAGTGAAGCATTGGTCACATTTTATAATTTTATAACTTTTGCAGCTACTAATCGGTTGCAGAAATAATAATGGGATTTGCATTACAGGTTTAGTTGGTTGGTTATATTTGCAACAGTGATTCTACGTTTGGAATGAGTCTAAATAATAAGCAAAAATTCGATATCAGTGTGGTTAATATTGTTAAATTAAATCAATATTCTCAGAATTGGCTACGGAAATTTTCATCTCTTCCATTGCTATTTTATTGATATAGAACAGGAACTTAATATTCTTCAGTGACTCCATTATTTACTGGACACTGGATTCAGTTAAATTCTGCATTTTTCAGCTTTATTGCGAAAAATGATTTTAATACATATTAAAATCATTTCTCAATTACGCTATGTAGCATGAGAAACTGCGGAATGATTAACTTGCATGTACCAGAAATCGGATATATTTGAAATATATTTAAAATGAACTTATTATGTGCTTTTGTGCAGATATAGGAAGGTAAATGGAAATTTTCTGGAGACTATTAGACAGTTCCAAAAAGTTATGGATGGAGTTATGAGTTCTTAAGCAAATTGGAAAATGCTTAAAGTTCAGTTGGATAAAAAATAACTTAGAAATGCACAGAAAGAAGTCATAAATTCTAATTCTCCTCGGGGCTAAATAGGTGTAACTTTCAGTTCTGCGAAACAATGCAGTAAATATTTGTAATATTATATAATTGTAATGCTTTGTTAAAATTCCAAATCGTGTGACAAATATAAGGATCGTGTGATCATCTCATGTCAGTAAGAGATGGATAGATGTTAAAAGATTCACTGTTTTAAACATATTGTTACAAATTGTTGGATGAGAAACTCCTGGGGGAGAAATAATGCAATTCAGATGTCTATTCTATCTCTTCCTTTTCACTTCTATGACTGAAATTCATATATTTTACAATGCAAAAATGATATTGCTCCTATCTAGAGATTTTCCTTGTTTATTGGAAGGAAATTAATGAAAATTTTCATCTTTAAATTGTTTTGTAAATACATATTAAAGACTTCACAATTGGTAGTTTTGCTTTTAACGAAATTATCCAAAATTAAAGGAAATGGAACAAGCCTTCTTTCTGTTCAACACAAATGAAGCGTAATCCGGCATATGTCCGACGAATACTGCCACTGTGCTCAGATGTTTTTTCGCATTCTTCCAAACATTTATCCACTCGTTTATAAGCTCTTAATGCATTCATTTTAAATAACTTATAAATAATTTCAAAACTTCTCTCACCTTAATGTGCTAAATCGATATGAAATAGGCAGAGAGATGAATGAATATATGCTTAGTCAAAACATGATATTATTTTTTGTTTAATGACTTGAGCATTTTTCATTATCTAATTTTTAATGCAATTAATTTTAAAAAATAAATGAATTTACTCGCAGATGTTGTGAAATGAATTTTCAGTCATTCGACGATTTTTTGATGCCTGAAAAGATCATTAGTCATTCTTATTGATTTTCAACGAATCTTAGCAGAATTCCAAATTTGTCAATTTTAAATCTCAACGAAAAGATCTTCCCTAAAATCATTTCAAACTGTCAGTAATCATACAACTTCAACTATTCGTGAATTTTTATTGAGATATCAATATTTAATTGAAAATTCCAACACAATCTCAGATTTCATAAATCATTTCTTAGCAGCAGAAATAAAATAACAAATCATTGTATAATAGATGAATCATTGTATAATAGATGCAAAGAATTAGCAAATATAATTTATAAATATACTTCGATTAAGATAACTAAATGAATATTAAACATGAAGGTGACAATGCCTTCGATATTCAAATTATTTCTCACATTTAATAATTCAAATTTAAAAATTTTTTGTGAACTAATATATTCTTAAATCAGGTGAATCCAACTTGATTATAGTAATCAAGTCAATTCTTAATGATAATTGAGTTTTAGAAAGTAGAAAGAAGAAACTTGTAAAAGTTGTGTCCAAGAAAGCTGTCCTTGACGCTCACTTCGACTGAACGGCGTACTTTCCATGATAAGTTGCATTTCACTAATGCACGGTTCCACGCAATCACCACTCAAAAATCCTTCCGTACATAAAATACTTAAAGTACCTGTAAGGTATTTCAGTTTCACTGATGCAATGGACCAGTTACAGTTGTTAAAAAAATATCTATGCCCAAAAATTGTTTATCAATTTATAAATTTCGAGAAGAAACGTTGTCGATCGAAGAAATATTACTTAATTAAAAGGTAATTAAAACAATGAATGTCTTACATGCAATTAAAAGGATAAATGCTGGAAAAATCATTGCAATTTCATTGTTACTTCCTGTTGGAAACGTAAGAAATCATTTTCCTAAATATTTTTGAAAAGAATATAAAACAATGAACCTTTTTAAAAAAGTTAAAATTCGTCAAAAATAATCATTAAAGAACAAAAAGAAATTTAATCAATTTAAGAAAAATCTAGGAAAAAAAGCAAAATGAATTAGTATTAATCCAAAAATTGATTTTATTGCAACGAAATGAAATTCGTTTTTCGATTGCTGTCACTTCTTTTAGCTGTAAAGAAATTTAAGGTATTAGAATTTTTAGAGATTTTCTTCCAAAATTGATAATTTCATTTCGCATATTTGCATTCCAATGATAACATTATTACCTTGTAAATTAAATAATTATGAGAGTGAGTGATATTCAAATCTCAACCTTATCTGTTTGCTATTTGAAGTTTTGTTTGCTATTTTCAAATTGACATAAAATTAAATTTTAAGCAATTAATCAATGTTGTTATGGCAAATGAATTATCTGAAATTTAACTAGTAATATTTTGGACAAAACAAAATCATCATTTATACAATCGACTGAAATTCAACTTGAAAATCATGCAGGTTGTCAGGAATTGGATGAAGTACTCTGCCAATTCATAGTTATTTAAAATGCGCTCAATATTGACAGGTCTAATTAATATAAAGCTAAATAAATAAATGCTTCATACAGTGTGCCTTATCTTGTTATCAGTTGTATTAATTTCTAAGTAGGCAGAGCAGTTTAGATGCTAGTGTGAAAGTTTTGAGCTTGATATCATCTAGCGCGATTTTCCACAAATCTATTAATTTTATGCTCATTTGGTGACTAACATTTTCAAGACTCTTGTTGTTTAAAGAAGTATTGTATACGGGCAATGATGTTTCAAAAGTACTTTGAATTGTTAAATTCTTATTTTATTAAAAAAATCGATGAACAAAGAAGTTAAGATAGTACCAATATATTTTTTTATATTTGCCTTTTTAAAAGATAATTAATTGTATAAAATATGCTTAAAATGATGTTATACAACAATGGCAATGAAATAAGGCCTGTGACAATGTTTAAAGTTCAGAAAATTACATACATTCAATAAATGAGATTCAATGAAAAAAGTCAAATAATTTACATCGGAAGTGTTTTGGAAAGAGGCAGAAATTTAATTTTCAACGAAATGATCGGCGGCTGTTTCAATTGTCTGTTATTACTAAATATGTAAGAGCTGTACAATCTTTGGAAAATTGAAAACGAAGAATGAAAAAAAGGAAGTGGAAGCATGTTCTTGGTAACAGAGATAAATTAGATGGTGGATCATTTCTGAAAAATTCAAACCTGACAAAATGAAATTTTAAGTTTAGAAAGAGTCGAATATATAAAAGCTCCTCGCAATTAATTTCTCGAAGTTAAAATTCAGGAATTTCTAATAAATATTTTATGTAAGTCGAAAATGTTATCCAATAGAGTTCACTTTTGCATAACAATTAGCGATTAGAAGAAATTTGGTTTTGAATAAATGATAATTTGAATATAGTTGCATAAATTAAGTGCAATTCATTGAAGTAATACTTGTAGTATAATTTCTTTGAAAATTAATATTAATTAGCTAAATATTCATTGGAAAAATGAATGTTATATTCAATGAATTTAAATAGTCAAAAGCTTTACAAGCAAAATTTCATTATTAGATGCATGCCCAATGATTACTTGAAAATAAAATTTGTTCCAATAATATTCGAAATTCAAAAATTAGTATAATGCTAAACGGAATGAAGCAAGTCTATTATTGATGCTATTAAATGATTTTACTCGAATTCCTTAACACACATACACTTCAATTCCCTTTATCTCTTTCTCATTCCTTCTCAATATTTCAAATACCAAATCATTTCTCAATTTTTCATTCTTTTGTCGGTAATATATGCATATATAAATTAAATAAATAAATGTACATACATATATAATGTATGTACATTTACATACATATATTTGTATTTGTATTTAAATTTATTTATTGAAGGAAAACACTGAATGAATAAATAGACAGACGGACTTGTATGTATGTATGTATGTATATATATATATATATATATAAACATTTACAACAACAAGAAATTGGATAATTTGCGCTTTTCAAGTTCAATTAATTTGAATGGGCGATGACAGAAAGCTTCTTTCCCAACCGAAGGTGGGCCATTTCTTTCTCCTTCTTTCTTCCTTTTCCATAAATAAGCAAAATTTTGAATCTCTTTGTCTTCTGGCTTCAATGTCAACTTTTCAAGGGTCTTAAATGGAACGAAGCTTTCTCCCAAAAATATATTATTAAGCCATTAGATGCTACAATACTTCACTCACATCATCACAAACACAAATCTGTCGTAACAATTTCATCCTACTCTTCATTTTTTCCTTTGATGACAGGATGATTAATTGGAATGAAATGAAAATGAATGGATGAATGATTGCAAATGTGCTTATATCCGAAACATAAAATTTCAATCTTAATACATGAATTTTGTTTTTAAAAAAAATTAAGGCTAATTTAGAAGAAACATTGAAGTTTTAAATTCTTTTAAGCATACTAAAGAAAAAAAGGTTTAAAAAAGTGTTGCATAATTACAAAATCGAACTATCAATGTGTTATTGTTTTATTGAAATCAATCTTAGAAAGAAAATATGTAAAATCTGTTTATTTAACAATTTTAATGATATATTCAAATTCAATAGAAATCGAATTGATTTAAATTTCATTAAAAATAGAACAAGCATGAACTGATTTAACTCTCACGAGAATATTCGCAGTTGTTAATTACTTCTTCACATTGATAAAATAATAACTATAAAATTTTTTAATTTCTTTCATAATTATACTATTTTATATCACTCACGAATTTCACTTATTTATTATTTCCAACATTTTTTAATCATATTTTTTTGATTGAATTTGTATTGATCTTAGTTTTCCTTATTACCTGTCTATCATTTCCACAGTTAAAAATGATTACTATGATATTAAACGCAAACATCGATTTCACCATCACTTCTATTGCTATCACTAATAGTATTATTGTTTTTACTAATATGATCATTTTTTAATACTCTCTTTTAAATTAATGATTTAAACAATCAAAGAGCATTTCTGAGGGATTAAAATGAAGTTGGAAGGAATTTATTAGACTTCTCGTTTATAGTATGTCGATCCTATAAATGGATATAATGGTAAACTTACAATTCGATGGTTCATTTTTTTAAATAAATGAAACGAATCATCGAGCAGTTGCAAGCTGATAAATTAGAAAGTATTTAGTGGTATCATATAAAGGTTTTAATTACAAATTTCAAATTTAAAAATCAAAATTGAAAGGTAATATGGCATTGGCGTACAAGAATGTGAAATTTTCGATACCAAAATAAATGAAAATTATGAATGGAAGAAGTTGAATTGCTAAAATTGAACTAATAAGCAAACGAGCAAGTTTAGTTTTGTTAGTAAAAACGGTGGAAAAACTGAAATCAACCATATTTCAAATCGTATTTCAGTTTGAGAAAGAATTTCACAGTGTTTTATTTTCGAGCTTCTCAAAAAGCAAAGATTTGCTCCACCCATTTCAAAGGAAACTATGGAAAACTTCTGATCGTTTTATGCAAAGCAGAGAAAGAAAAGAATGAATGAAAGAGGAAAGAAGACTTAGATAATTCCTCTGAGAGTTACCAACTCACTCAGTATACCTAAATCTTCCACCATAATCATCCATTAATTATTTCAAACAAAAGAATAGGCCTGTTATTAAAGCATTTACATTCCCTCTTCAGAATTTTATCGAGAACAAACAAGTAAGTAAATATGATTATCATTTATGCGTCAAAATATGAAAACTTGAAATGGGAAAAAAAAGATTTAGAAACTGATTTAAAAACTGAACGAAATTTCGCATTCCATTTTTCGGTATTTCCTTACTTAATTGATAGGAGTTCACTTATCGATTCAAAGAAGACAAAAAAAAGCAGAAATGAAATCGTGGTAAAATCATACGTTTCTTAGTCAAATAATATAATACTAAAATGATAATATAATACTTAGATATCGGTAATTAAATACCTATGCATAAAACTAATAAGTTTAACTTCCATATCTTAAACAACTTTATTAATTTATTCAGACGTTACGTTTAAATCTAATAGTACTCATCCACATAAACAGGTCATTGAATTGATTGATATCTTAAAAATTAATGTCCAAAAGGCGAACAATTTTCTTCAGCCATTCTTAATGCCTTATTCAACGCAAAATTCATGAATACATTATGACTAAATTTCAATATTTTCAGGACAAATTTGATTTTAAAATTGGCATCGATAAGCTTTGATTGATTTGATAATGTAAATGATCATTTGAAATAAGAAAATACATACTGCGCAGTTATTAATTTCATTAATGTACCTTTTTTTGATGCATATTTTCTAACTATTGGCCACTTTTTTATTTTGTTTTTAAAAGAGTGTTTTTTAAAATTTTTATTCGGTTAAAAAGGTCTCGAGAGGGAAAATTTTCTCTAAGTTTTGTTCTCTCTCAATGGGACATTTCGGAAATAAGGAAGGACAATAGGAAGAGTTAACGAGCAACTTGGCATAACCAAAATTTGATTGATGATTTTCAACGAAGTATGTAAAACACTATGGAGTGCTTTATCACGTCTTAATTCACAAAGTTGAAAAAATATAACAAAATAATGATGTGCAAAACTTTTCAACCTTGTACGAAAAGTGGGAGATATATAACTGAATTTAATTGTGCTATACTTAAAGTTTGCAAGTTAGGAATTAATTGATGAAATAATCTAATTTCAATTGGTTTTATTATTTGTTTTAGAGACAGTCGTTTTGAAAAATCTTATAGAGAAAGCAATCTAAGCATTGATATATGACTAGCTAAAATATTAAGGAATGCTTATAAATAGAATTATTTCATGCAAAGAGTTCTTTGATTTCATAAATCGTTTTAATTTTCACACTATTGCATTCCTCGTTATTCAACAGCATTGTTTCTACCTGAAATTTGAAATTTCAACAATTTTGGGGGCGCAAAATTGATTGTTCGGAAAAATAATTTACCATCAAATTGAGTTAAGACAGCAACGATATGTAAAAATTAAGGACATATTGCATTGAATTTTCTCATTGATATTTTTTTGCATTAAAAAAATCATATTCATGCTCAAACTATGCTTAAGTTATCTTACATCCATGTCTTTAATTTAAATGTATGAAAAAAAATTATTACAATTAATTTCAAATATTCATTTAAGAAGTTCAAATTTAGGAAAAGTTTTCCTTAGCTTTTTTTACTTTATTGACAATATTGCTTACATAAGAAAACATACGAAAAATGATTTTTAGAGACGCTTTGTGTAAAATTATTAAGGAAAATATAAGTTACAAAAAATTGAAACTTTTAAAATTATTTGGATTTTTTTGATAGCTTGTTGGAAGTGATGTTTTCTTGAAAATGAATGTAAAATAATTCTACTTTTACTTTTGAATTTGATTTTAGATTTAGAAAAATTGACCTTTAATTAATGATTAATGAAGTATTCTGTCTTAATAACATATTTTATTTTATTAAAACTCATTGTTCTCGTAATTTCTGAGCGTAGTTATTATCTGTCAGATGTCTGTCAATAAAAACTATTGCTGCTTTACTATTATATCAGTAGTTTTATTAATTTCCATTTGTGGTAAATCAAATAATTCACATTTACCTTTCTTTATTGTAATATTCCGTGTAGAAAAAAACAATCAAAAAAGTAATAGTATTGAGTGACCAGTCAGACTTCTCTCTATTTACCATTTGTATTAATCCAACGGTGGACAAATTTAGAGAACAAGATGGAAGGAAGTATGTAATGGACCATAAAAGTAAACAAACAGAAATAATATACTTTGTAAAAATTTAAATAAATTACTTAAAATGTTTAGAAATTACAGAGAGATTAATATTAATGGAAATAATGAGCAAGAAAATGAGAGTTATTTCGTTTGATTCAATTTAAATATGTATAATATATGAAAATTATCCTTTCAATTGTAACCTTCATCACGTTAAAAATGACCACAACAATTTTTTTATACATATAATTTTTACTTCCTTTTCCTTCTCATTTCATTGAACCTCATTTTTCTCAAATCATTTCTGTACATAACATTTATTTCGTGACCTAAATAACTTTAAGAGGAGAAGGAGTACCTTAATCATTAACTATGGTATTAGGGAGGTGGAAAAGAGGTAGGTAAACAAATTACTCTACTATCCCTAGCAATGTTCATTGGTATATTTATACTGAGTAATAGTACTGAAGAAATCGTCATAGCAATAATAAAATATTCAGTTAACCGGTAATATCTCACTCACAATTTCCTTAATAAATTGACGTTTGCTGCTTACATTTGCAGAGTTGTTTAAAATTCAATACACATATTTATACTTCGATAAAACTCTAAAACCTCAATCCGAAATGCTTTATTATTCAACAAATGTGTTTTTTCTACTTATAACCTTTCCATCATTATCAGGTTATCGCTTTTTCTTATCAATTATTTCATTTTCTGATCCTAAACTTTTATTTATCCTATTAAAATTAAATTATCGTGACAGCAAAACTCGTTGGAACTTAAAGTTTGGTTGCATAAAAATTGCATTAAATATTGGAATATTGAAAGTGTATAACTTTCATGGTATAATTATCATAAAGCGTTTCATTCATTACGTCGGATAATTAAATTAAGACAATTGACTTCGTTTTTATAGTAGCTTTGTCTTACTCTGCATAAGTTATACTATTTGGAAACATTACTTTCAAACTTCTGAAATTTGATAGAAAAATTGATTTATAACTCAAATACACTTACTTTACCATTATTTTAAAAGTTTCAATTCATCAAGAAAATTCTGATCATTAAGTTTTAGTCAATGGTCAATATTCAATAACTGATAAAGCAGAACGTTTGAGACAATGGCTTGAAGCAAATCGTAATTCTTTCCCACAACCCATAGCCGATGATTTAATCTCATCCATAAGTGGAAACAATGATATCGCTACAACTATACTCAAAATTTTTGGTTTTGGTTCGGAACCGAAAATTTTAGAAGCACAGTTTACCCGAACAACCGATTTACCACCTACCACATCGCGCAATGGAATCAAAGTTGCTGACAGAGAAGGTACAATTAAATCTTTAATTTAATTAACGAAACTTTGATTGAAATTTGATCATCCAAACAAACATCATATTTTATTTTCAATTACCACAATGAAAACTGTTTCATCGATAATTTAATTTTTTTTCATCGATCTCTTAACCTAATTAAATACGACAATTCAGTTATTGAATTTGTTTCAGCAATTTCGATTGCATAAGAAGATTTTATGTGTAAATGTAGTTTATTATAGCCTTATTCCATTTCAATTACTAATCATTCTACAAAGTCATCAATTCTTGCAACCCATACATCTTTTTATTTAATTGTATAACTTATTGCTGATTGTAAAGTGAAGAGGTGCTTCAATTTATATTGTATGATCACTTGAGAACAGAAATGGAACAATCTTCATCACCAAATTATATATCTGAAAATTTGAAATCTCATTTAATTATAGCCAACATAAATATATTATTTCATTGATATAATGAATTAGTGAATAAATAATTAAAGATAGAAAGCGATTAGTTGAGAAAACACTCAAATGAGTTTCATTTTGTTCGAAATTATGAGTAAATGTTGCAATCAAAAAAAGCTTAGTATGATGGATTATACATTAATTCATATTTAAATATGAAATGGAAATTACCAAATTTAATAACATTGATGAAGCGAGTATATAAAACGCCATGTGAAATTTTCTATATCAATTTGAAATATTGATTATAAATTTTTAAATATTGAATATATTTGAAATAATGAGTATTTGTAGAATTTTAGCAATTAGTATATAAATTTCATTATAGTTTATTTCTAGTTTGTCCTTTCGATGCTGATCCATTGATTTTATCCGGTGAATACAGTTACTGTAAGCCAACAACAATTGGAGAATGTCCAGCTGGTTTCGTCTGCGATTTTAGCTTAGTACTTAGCCGATCAATATGCTGTCAGGACATGCGTAATCGACCGGTTATTAATATAAGGATAAAATCACCGATAAGTTAGTATTACAGTAAAAATTTGCAATTTTTGATTTTCTTCGATGCTTAAAGAATTTCGAATCCGAAAATTTATCATCTTGTTTTCTCTGTGCTTGTTTTTAATAACTCAAAATTAATTGATTTACAGCAGTGACTTGAATTCTATTCCTCTTGTTTCACATTTAAGATTCAACTTCCAATTCATTTTTAACAACGCTTTCATCGAGACAAGAAAAGATCACAACCGGTGAGCATATCTGGTCATCTACAGTTCCCAATCGTCGATCACCTTGGTATATCAGAGATAGGTACGTTCATTGATATCGAAAATCAATAATCTATCCTACTATTTAAATATAAATGAATATCTAATGCTCCAAATGCAGTATCTTCAAAATATTTCATTTGCAGTAAAGTACATATAGATATCGATTGATTAGTAGATCTGTTAATTATTATCATTTCTCATTTTTAAAAATGCCATTGATATGGTTAAGCACTTATTAACAGAATAGTTGTGTAAATTTTTTTAGATAATATAATTAAAACTGCTACCTTAGTTTAAATTGTATCCTGTAGAAGGCCACTATACAGAACTCAGTGGAACGGAACTGTGCATAGCCTTGTGACTTCCAGGAAAATAACTGCGCCCACAACACCAACTTTTAGAAGTCGTGAATTACCAGCAACAGAATCTGTTGTAGATATCGATAGCAAAGAGATCTCAACTGAAGGATATGTTAGCACTGCTAACAAAATCGCGTAAGTTCATTATATTATTTAAGAATAAAGACAAATGCTTGAAATTTTAAAGATTGCTCTATTGCTATTATTTAACAAGTTTGACTTGTCATTAGCAAAATTCTCTTTTAATTTAAACTAGAAAGTTAGAAACTGAAATTTTATTAGAAAAAATGATTTTGAAAAATTTATTTTTATCTCATCTTTATTGATTAGCATTAGCTGATATCACGATTTCTAATTTTTTATCAAAAATCATGCATTGACAGCTCCTAATAATTTTTGTGTAGCAATCGCACCTTTAAACTCATATTTGTCACTGTTAATTCAAGGAATGATACTAATTAACAAAATTTAAAGATTATATTAATTAACAAAATTTAAAAATGGAAAAATATAGAAGTTAAAGCGGCTTAAATTGAGTTTCGATTACAAGAAGAAAGGCTTAATCACAGGAGAGCGAGTAAATTTATAATACTTTAAAACTTCTATGGCCAAATATAATTCATGATTATACTTTCAGTTATTACAGTCAAGCTTTTTATCAGATCTTCCTATCAAATCTGCAAACAATTGTTAATTTTCAGTCTCACAGTTGAACCAGAAATTCCACATCATAGCACATCTGAATTTGGTGCATATTTAATAAAATCACCTCAAACAACAATATCACTACCCTCAACTTCCTCAATATCTGCCGATCATCTTACATCCGTATCTTTAATTCAAGTTGGTAATGTTAAGAGATTGACGGACAATCAAATACTCATTATTGGAACAATTGCACTTATTAGCGATCGAGGTTACCGAATCCTAGTGGATACTGGATCCGCAGCAGATACTGAATCACTCCTGCAAGGTATTTATAAATTTTCTTAATATTTTGGGTTTCAAATTGTTTTGTGCTTTTGCAAAGGCCTAAAATAATTTTTAAAAGTAAGCATTTTCACTCATTAGTCAATTAAACAATCCACTGATTCATTTAGCGAATAAATTTTAACCTATGAACTTTCAAAGATAGATAATGCTTTCGAAGAGTTCATAACCAAAGATTAAAAGTTGTTTTTTTACACTTTTTATGCTCAAATTGATGACAATTGAAGAAAGAGCAGCTTTTGTATGTTCAAACAATTTTCAGCAGAAAATTCAATGAAATAATAATTGCATTTCATTTGATGAATGCCTAAGAAAAGAAATGCAGAAGTAATTTATCAAAAGCTTTTATTCATTGAAATCGTTAGAGAAGAATTGAAGTAAGTGAATATAAAGGAGAAGAAAAAGATTCCTAAACTTTATTTCGAACTATTCATGGATTTGATAATCCAACAATTATATCTTAAATCATAGATAAACTAACCTAATCTAACATAACAAATTCTCATATAACAATTTTACGATAGATACTTGTCAAGTGGAAGTTCATAAAAATAAGTATTCGCAATATTGAACAATTATATTGCACCTTCTTTCATTCAATATCCAAATTTTTTCTTTGTATTTATGGATGAATTTGTTACTTTTAGTTTTCGTGTAACTTTCAGATGTCTTCCAATTAAAGCAACATAATCTTAAAATTTTGCTGATTGAAAACCTTTACAAAGATATCATACCGACCCATAAACCCATATAAATCCGTAATTTTTAAATTTTTGTTTATATTTTCCATGTTAAGAACACATTGGATTACTGAGTCCTTAATCATTAATTGCAGAAACTGCTCAGAATGATAATCTTTCTATAGCCTTCAGTTCCTAACTAGTGAATGACTGAACACATTTTCAATCCCTCTTTATTCAACAATTCAGTCATAATATCACATAATATCTCATCCAACAGTTTTCTTTTCACTTTACATTTTTCACGTTATTTGCATCCTGGTGAACTAACACAGTAAATTTATTTAATACGGAATTACGGATATCTGTGATACAAAAAAATGCGGTTTGTGATGTATAACATTGTTGGCTACTTCGATGATCGCTATCGAAGGGGCTGATTGATCATTTCAACTTTTCAAGCAATTTACATCATCTCATACGCTTGCCAATGAAATTTCCTATGAATAACAAAGAATGAAACAATAATAAAATTATAACTTTTTAATATTACATTTTGAAAAATTGTAACTATCAATTAGGAAACAAATGAAAAAAGTATGAATTAATGAGAAAATTAATTGAAAATTAGTAAAGGAGATTTTCCCAAAATTACTAAATAAGAGCAACAAATTTTTGATCTCAACTCTTACTAAAAGCATATTTTGATTGAAAAGTCTTTCATTACTCATAAATTTGTAAAGTAAACTTTTGCATGCTATTGTGGTCATTCTATTCTATTGTTTATCTTTTTAAGTTTCTATTCATGCATGCTACTATGGTCATTCCATTTTTCTTGCATGCTACTGTGGTCATTCTATTCCATTCTTTATCTTTCTAAGTGAATAAGTAATATGCTATAATCGACTTATCAATTCAAATTACAACTTTTTTTACTTTATTCGAAAAGTTTCACGCTTTGAAATAGAAGAAAAGCTGATGAAGATTATAGTCATTATCTACTTACCACAGAATTTATGTTCAGATTAATTACTATATCAATTTAATTATTAGATCTCATTTCAAATATTTGAGCAAAGCAAAAATTTACTATCAAAATTTGAAATTACTTGAAAGTAATTTAAGTTTTTCGGAAGAAATGATTTCTATAGATAATAATTTTAGGTCTTTCGAAAGAAATGATTTCCGTAGATGATCTTGCAATAATTGTAATAACAAGTGGACATCCAAGTCATGCAGGCAATCTCAATCTTTTCCCGCTGAAGCCAACACTTTTTCATACGATGGAATTTGTAGAACAGCATGCTACTGTCAGCGAACTTAAAGATGTTTGTTTATTCACTGAGATATCTTAACATTGGAAAAAATTTTGTATAGAAATATTCCAAATTAAATATTATGCAGGAAAATATAATATAATATAATATGAAAAAATCAAATCAAATAAAATTTAATTTATATGACTCATTGTATGATCAATTGAAAATTGTTTAAATTTTTGAATCTTTTCTCCTTTTTACAAAAACACAAAAAAATGCATTTAAAAGTATTAAATATTTGAATAAATAAATATGGAGAGAGTTGTATGATTCTTTCTTAACATTTTAATATTATAATTCGAACTTTATTTTCATTTTTAGAGACCTTATCGTAAACTAACGGAAAATGTAGAAGTTTGGAAAACTCCTGGCCCTACACAACAAAGTCTTAGTGTATTGGTTTATAATGCCGAAGGATATGGAACGATAGCGATCGTTGGTGATTTGATACCAATGGAAGATTACATTTTCAATAGAGTAGCTCTTTGTTGAAATTATAAAAATTGAAATTTTATCTTGACTTTGGTGACAATTTATTATGCATACGAAGTGACTGTTAGATATTAATGAAATTTTATTGATTGGCATATTTGGAAATTTCCTTTAAATCAAAATATTATTTATAAGAATTTTTCAGGGAAGTATTTTATTTTTGGATTCGCCTATTATTTACTTGTTGCGAAAAATGTAAAAAGCAAAGAAAATTAATTACATTGATTGATTAATTAACAACTAACAGTTAATTAATTCATTAATTAACAAGAAGAAAAGAATTATATTAATTTATTTCTTTTTAGTTGATCTTGTCCATTGCTGCTGTATTATTCAGAACATTTTAAACTTCGAAAACTAAACATTAAGCACAAATCATGCCCTAATTTTGAGTAATAGATTACCTTAAAATTTAAGGCAGTATTCTGATTATGATCTGAAATTGACTGTTCCAGAAAGATTCAACGTATCAAGAGTAAAATATTTTCATCTTTTTCGCTTTCCAAATTGGATTAAAATGACAAGAAAACTTAAAAACACAAACACAGGCATATAATTATTCCAACATTACTAGAATAATTAATGAAAAAACTACTTCAGACAGATTCAAGCGTAGATATCGATGGAAGTGTATGGGATTCACTGATCAGAAGGCAAAATTCGAATTTGATCATATGTTTAGCGGACTGGATCATTCCCGGTCATGGACAACCATTCAGAGTGTTACCACTTTATAGGTATCATCTATATACAAATTTTCTTGCTAAATGAATCAAAACGGATCTTATTAAATCTTATCTTATCTATCTTATTCTTATATTTTATCTTATCTTATTCAATAAATTAAAATATCCAATTACTGTTCATTTTCTTGAAATTTATCTTAAAGATAAAAATAGTCATCTACTTTTTGCCAATAAATTTTGCAAAGACTTTAAGGTATGTATTAATTTTTTTGAAACTAAAAAAAAAGAATTCAATTTTAGACAACGAGCGGGATGTACACGTTTATTAGCACAGCGAAAGAAATTCGGTAAGATGTAATCGACAAAACCGGAAAGGAATAAGGAAGAAAGGCTATCCATTCGAAACCTTCTTGTTTAACGCTTTTTATAGTTGTTTTCTAATTTATAATAAATTAATAATTTGTAACTGAGAATTTTACTTTCTCAATCTCAATGATTCGAAGAGGGATGAAATGAAGGGAGAAATTTATTATGAGGCCTATTAGGGCTAAAACTACTCATTCCTTATGTATGTATATCTATTAATCTTTAATCAATCTGGAGAGTTTATTTCAATCCTCGTGAAAAACGATGTTCCCACATGCAACCGATTGTCAGAGTTCTGAAAGTTTAAAGGCTACCTGTATGGTAAAAGTGGAACTAAAATTCGGATATCGAACTTATGTTTACTCTTGAAAAAAATCTTTAGAACTTCATCTCTGTATTGTAGAATTTGTTTATCATTTCTTTTGCAAATTCTTAGTTTGGTCAAAAAGAATGATCAAATAATTTTTCATACAAAAGCAATAATATTACCGTCTAATAATTTAATAGTTTTGTTTTCTTTGTGTAATCTGCAACTTCGACGTCCATTTGTTACACACAGATATAACCGTTGCGGAACATCGAAAACCGTTTGTCAGCGGAATGAGCAGGATTATGTTTAGAAATCAAAAATTCTCAAATATGAATTATGATTTCAGAATTTCTTTAATTATTGCAAAAAAATTGTTAAAAACATAATTAGGTTTTAAGATTATTAATTTCAACCTGTTTGTTTAGTGGATTAGCAAGAATTAGGGATATTTGCATAGTTATGATTTATTTTGTGAACATATCGCATCTCATATAATCTTTGTTTTACCAAAAAAGCAATACATGTAATACGCTCAAACACATTGCGTAATAATTTACAAAAATATCCTTCTAGTCCAAGATATGTCTGATTCAGAGTTTGACAGCTGTTGAAGAGGTACAGCGTCGTATTCAACTGATTCAACTCAAAATTTATGTGTAAAGTCAATTTTACCATAACTGAAAATATTCGAACAGAACTTAATTGTTTAGTTTGAAATAATTTTTGATTCGTTGATCTGTACCGATGCAAAATATGGCATGCGTTACTGCAATGATAATTGCAGCGGATGGAATATGCGAATTGTAATTCATTCTCAGATTAATAATTCATCAAGATCGAGTTTAATACATTTAGCTTAAGTATGAATATATATCTGAGTTGCTACAATTAAGCATAGTCTGAATACTGAACAAGAGGTCAAAAGAGCATTGACATGCTTGCATTTTGCCAGCGATTCAGCAATATGAAAATGGTTCATAATTTGAAATGACATAATCTGACGTTAGAAAAAATTGCTATTTCAAATTTTTAGATTAAAATATCAAGTATTTAAACTTGATCATGTATCGATCGGAAGCGAAGCCATTTATTTATATTCCTTCCAATATCTTTGATTTATCGCTAATATGTTAGTCTCAAGCAAATTTCTGCAAAATTTTATCCGTAGCTAGCTGAAGAAATGGAAGAACAGCAAGTGATAAGAACGAGATATTCTGATAAGCCGAGATTTAGATTGCAACATTGTAAAAGATGTCACCGTTTTGAAAGTAAGGCTATATTACTGCTACCACACAAATGTAGGAATCAAGGATTTTTTTTGTGAGGGGAAAGGAAAATTGAAGGGATGACCTTGATGTAGTTGTCAACCTTTTCCTTCTTTTATTTCTCTCCATTCCTCTCTTTACATTCTTTCATAACTTCACGCGCTTACCTATGCTTACCTAAATGTTTGATATTTTATGTTATAGGAAAAGTATTAACATATGATATAGTCAGCCCAATGATCTCAAAAAATTCCTAAATATAATTAATGTGAAATGAGTTAATCAATAATTGAATATGAAATAGGTCTTGTACTCATAAACAATATGTTATATAAGATTTGAGTCGATCAGTCCTGATTAAATTTTTAAGCTGATAATCCATTCACTTTATCAGAATGCAGTATCGAGTAATCTTTGAGTTGAACCAAACATTATTAATAATAATACATCATATCTGGTAGCAGTTTCATTGGACGTAATGATTTCAACAAATCCTCAAAGTCCAAATAATTTTTATTTGATTACTGATATTTGATATTTGATTTAAATTTTTAGAATTTTGAAAATCCGAGCAATTTACAAAGATTTTCAGATGACTCACTGCAGAAAAATATGCAGTAGCAGTAGCAGTAGTTACTGCATATATTTCTGCAGTGACAATTTAGAATGAAGGAATTGTTCGAGAATTTATAATGAAGGAATAGTTCGACAATTTATAATGAAGGAATCTGCCATCAATCTATGCAAATTTCTCTCTCATCAAATTTATCTTTTTATTTAACATTTTGCTCCAATATATAACATACAAATATGACGCCATCTTACTGCACTTTTGCATATGTCCAGTGAATTTGCATGTTGGTGCTATGTAATATATGGTAGGGAAACTGAATGAGGCAAGCGGTCTGATGGGCGTTGTATCCGGCTGACCTCTGACTGACAATGACGTTCTACCGTGAGTGGGAATGCCGCCAGGGTTACGAATTGAGGAAATGAAAATATGTTGTGGGATATAGCGTGTGGATTGAGCAGAAGGGAGGGGTGATGAGAACGCGAATGAGAAGCAGATGTCGCATCATTATTGGGGATGATTGCTGCACTAAGTCATTTGTAGTTATTAATAGTGCTGCTAATATTTGCCTCTAGTTTGGATACAATTACTGTTAACGGTAGATTTATTTGTTGCTTTTATTTATTTTTCACGATGCACTTAGCTACGGGTAGTTATGGAATTTTGCACAGTACCGAATTGCATGCATAAATTATAAATTATAAATTAGGTAAATTAGGTCGCATTTTATGCTTGCGTTGTAGTGGTAACACGCTATCTTATCGGAAGATTTGCAGATAGTAATGAATGTGAATGGCAATGATAATGGTGCAGATGATGATCTAACGGTATCGCAAGGTTGTTATCTGTTGGAGGAAGCCCATAAATGTATTATGGAAGCTCTCAGCCTGTTATCAGGACCAGATGAGGATTCCGAGTGAGCAAATCATTGTTTCCTATTCCCATCGCTTATGATTGGTTATCACTCATGTATGCAGTCCAATTCTATGTTTTTTGCAAATGGAATCATGTTTTTGCAGCTCTTATAAGCATCCTGTATAAATTCAGTTATAGTGCTTGTAGTCATGGACATATAATTGTCCGGTTATTTGGCACTCATACACTCTTCCACTCTCCAACTTCTTCCCAGAAATCGTGAGAATTATTCAATCTCATATTATATAAGTAACCCATGTATAAGTATAAGCAACTTTTAACTATTCTTTGATCTGTCTTGATTAATTGTTAAATAGCACTATATTGTAATAGTCTAACTTTCACATCTGTTTGATCCCAAACTTTTGTCTCGACCTTAATTTTTGAATGTTTTGAATTTTATTTGAAAAGAATCCGAAACGTATTACCTTCAACTATTGCCAAATACTTGCAATTTTTTCAGTAGTGCACATAGTGTACTGGATTGACAGAAGTCGTGTGTGTTCTGATTAGCTTCCCTTCCTTATTATTTTTTTTACAGATTGGCGTTAGACAGACATACCTTCCGATTAGCTGTTCACGCACTTCGACGCGGTGTACTCGCTGTACGTGTTATTGAGTTATTTCCAAGTGGTCTTTTTGAAGGTACTCTTTATTCATTTTTTTTCCTTTTTTCAAAATCGTGTCTTCCTTGAATATTATATCTTGAACCTTATGTCAAGGATTTGCTGTAATATGAACAAAATATTGTCCTTGTGTACAGCTATTAGATCTTAGTACCAAAGTCATTTTCCTTGTCGAAGAGGACAAATTCAGTGATGCCTAATTAGCAGGTAGTAGCAGTATATTCCATTTTCATGATCTTGTTATGAATATTCTTGTCTTGAAGCCTTTCAAAACTTTACTTTATGATTCTGAATAGTATGAGCATTCTTTTATTTATGGTCTACTGTGATTTTTTGATTTTATGGCTTCTGACCCCCCGAATCCTTTCTTGCTTTTTGATACTTTAGTCTACTCCATGGATTATCGTCGCTAGATAATTAGAGAATAGTTGCGAGCTGTTCGATGTATATTTGAGTTCAAAAATTCATATAACTCATTAAGCAGAAAAAGCAGTAGTTAGAGAATTAATAGTATAAGTGAAGATAGTTCAAGACGAAATTATGAGTAGCTTTTTGGAGACTATGTTCGTGTGTTTTGAATTGTAGAAAGGTACTGCACCAAATAACCAGATAATTTGATTATCATGATGGCTATATTTTTTATGCAATAGGATATTAAAACTAAGTTCATCACTTGGAACAAAAGTCGTTCACTTTTACTTGAGAATATTTACTATGACGTGCCAGTGGTATGAATAATTTTAACGGTAATTTCAAATTTTTAAAAATTATTTTCAGAATTGGCCTATGCGGAGCATAAAAAATCTAAGGGGAAAATATCCATAGAGTCTTTGCGATATAGTGCTGGTGATTGCGGACATGTATGTGGTAGTAATGGCGACTTGTCGGTGATTTTTTTTCGCTCATTAACGATTGATTTTATTTTAATAAATATCTTCGTGATTCACATGAAAGAAAGACATGTGTAATTCTTTAATCATTTGTGCTACTGACAGTTTCAATTGTGTCGTTCTTATCAGTGACGTATAGTAGTTTCGTTATTGGTTTTTATGCTTTTGAAACACCGCTGCGATTTGGATGTCGTTCTTAAATACCAAAATTATACTCTTAGGTCAATTATGGATCGCCTTATAAGTTCACTTCTCTTGATTATAAGAATATTCGTCAAAGTCACTTCTGTGATTATGATTTTGGGAAATTGTTTTAGAATTAATTTCAGGATTCTGATTCTGATAATGTGAAAACAAGTCATAAAACTGTGAATGTGGTTGATGGACTGAAGCGCCATTTAGTCGGTATCACGTTGATGTGTTATTCTGTTCTGCTTTTGTATTATATAGTCCACACCAGACGTGAAGAGTCTAATTTTATCCTTGCTCTGGATTATTGTAATCACGTAAGTTAAATTACTTCTGCGTAAATCGAATCCTCCAGACATTTTTTTTCTTATGTCTTAGTTACAATTCTTCAGAAGTTTAATCTTATTCATAACTCATCCTAAAATTTATTGCGAAGAGATCCATCTCGGTAAGAACATTTTAAAATGTCTAGTTTTTTTATTAAAAATTAGTCTTGGACAATTTCTGACGTTTTGATATTACAAAAATCCAGAAATAGATTGATTTTCTCACTTTGCAAAATTTGCAGCAGTATCTTACCATTATTATATTACTCCAGGTTTTATCGTTTGTTCCTGGCACTGGCACTTCATTATTTGATAGAGAATTAGCGCTTTTACATGCACGTCATCTCATGGAAAATTGTAGATACGATGGTATAAATTTATGGTTTCAGCGATTTATATGAAAGTATTAATTTCATTCTAGTAGAAATTTGACAATAAGATCTTAATGCTTTCTTGGCTAAAATTACTTCAACTCATACTTTTGTAAGTTTGTAAATTCTCTTTGATTTGAGCCGTGCATTTTTGTTTTCTTTCAACGAAAATGTTACTTAATGCCAAACATTATTGCAGAGTCTGAAATTGACCAGACAGTAAATATTTGTTTGATGTTGTTTGAAGAGGAACGAAAACGGGAATTACGCGACGCTGGGCGAATGCGTTATTTACAGGCCGTTCACGCATCCTGTAAAGATAAAGTGGCGTTCGGTGGATAGATTTTACTGATACTACCTTTTCGTTTTTGATATTCCATTTTTTATTTTATAAAAACTTTTCATGGAAAATTGTAGAGAATTAAAATGAAACAAATAGGACAGGATAAAAGCCTTCTTTTGCGTTAACTCTGAATTACAGAGACCAAGCAAGGATCAGGAGAATTGAGTTCATTTTTAAATTTTATGTAAGACGATAAAGTCTTAGAAAATCTTACGCAGTGATCGGATTATAGTCGCTGACGGGACATTTTCTGTGCTTCCTTTTTAAAATCTTGTCTTCCGATAACCTCGCCGAAATTTAATTAATTTTGAAAATTGAATTGTCTTTTGAATTGTAGTATGCATTTTACTCACCAGTGTTTTTTCAATTGCAAATTGAAGAATTATGAACAATTAAGAATTATAAACGATTAAGAACAAATTATGAGCTGTAAGTCAACATTATTATGTTGACTTGTGTTTTCAACATTAACATTATTATGTTGACTTGCAGCTCATAATTTGTTCTTAAGAATTTTTTTTAACATCTTTTAATTATTCCTCTCTTGAACATTCATCAGGATTTACCATAGTATATAAATGATCTCTCCAATATGCCATGTTATTTAACGTATCTCTTTTTGATATCTATCTTTTTTTTATTATGAATTTATTGTAGAACTGTTCATACTCCCAAAACTTATTAAAGTCCTTTTCAAGATTCCAATTGTAATTTCTTTCTGCTGTAATCAATACTTCTTGTAATTATATAGCGTCACAAAGTTATGTATTGATATCATTTATTTTGTTGATTTCGTCTGATCCATCCGCTATCAATATTGCCGTTATTTTGTTTTAACTTCAAGTTGTGGTTTTCAGATGTATTTTTATCCAGCATTTATTCGGCTTTGTTATTAATTATATATTGTAGCAGTGGTGCTGGAATTGGTTCGACACTGATGTTTCCTGTACTAATTGCATTTAAAATCCAGTTTTTGTTCTAAAAACTTCGTTGAAATGGAAGAAGAATGAAAATTTAACTTAAATTCGTCAAAATGACTATAGGTATTATAAATTCACTGGCCTTGCAAATTAGCTGTGTTGTTTGTGTGGATTCCTAAAATTTAAAACAACTTTCAGACCATCGATCTCTGTGCCCAATGTTTTTCACGTATCGATCGTTTCTTTTTTAATCAATCTCGTTTTATTATTTTTTTGTTGAAACTTGGATAAAGTTTCCCAAAGATGTTTCGATTTTATGATAACGTCTTAGTTCAAGGATGCTATCCTAGCCAAGCTGACTGGTATTTCTTTATACTTAAAAATTATTAGTGGGGATCTCCTAAAAATACACACGGATTGTTGTCTTGCGATGCCTCAAATGTAAAAATAGTTGTTAGTTATTTTATTCTTAGGTTTATGTTGTTTTGGAGGTTCCTCTGAAGTACTTTCCTAACTGGTGCTAAGCGGTTAGCGCTCTCCTCGTGAAGAATTTGTTACTTCTGTTGTTCTACGATGAGATTATAGTTATTAACTACCGATTAGATTAGTGCTGCTTTTTACAAATTTAAATGTACCATAAGAGGCGAATTTCTTTCAAAAATTTACCTCGGATCTTCGGAAGCTGTTTGATTTATTGTAATGTATCATTATTCACTTATTGTAAGCTTGAACGAATCGATTTTGTTCTGCTCTTTTTAGGTCGATCATTTGTAGGATTCCCTCATCTTGTAACAAATTTATTATCACTGTTATATTTATTTAAGGACTGTTTAATCGAATCGATGAAGATGTAACAACAACACAGATTGCTAATTTGTATGATTTAGAAATGAGTCTCTATGCTGAGTGGCCACTGATTGAATTTTTTCCATTAAATACTTCTCAGTCATCCTTATCGGTCTTTTCAAAGTGTGTTTTTTTGTTTCCGAATAATTTCTTACTTGTTCCAGCAAATTTCCTCTGACTTGTTGGATATGCAGTTGATATTTTGAAGAAATTCAATAATCTATCCAAATTTAAAAGAAGTACTGCTATCACTACAATTATTTTTGTTTTTCAGAAAGACAGGTGATAATGTAGCAGAGTTATTGCTACAGGAAATTGGGGAGAATTTAAATGAGCGAATGTGCCTTAAAATTGATACTGAAGAACAACTCTCATGGGTTTTGCAGGTTTCTAAATTATATTCGATTATATTCGATTTCGAAAAATTAAGAAATGTTAAAACACAGATTTGAACCGGTTCATGCCAACAGAATGCTGAGATAAGTGGCTGAACTTTATCCAAACTTCAAGATATTATTGAGCGCAGATCATTTTCACATATGTTTACTTTAAAAACAAGCGATCATTGTAGTATTTTCACTGATACATGTTTATGTTTTTGTATTTTAATCACGATGATTAATGTAATGCGGTGTTTAAATCCGTATGTTGAAAGAAACATTTTACGGATATAATTATTTGATATGGTTTAGAAGAAGGTATCTGGATTTTATAGCCACTTATTTAATTTTTTCTATTGTACAGCACAGAGTTAGAATTTATCTCATGAGCTCTCAAATTGTAACTTAATCTGTGCAAGCTACAAACTCACGCTTTTGGTTCATGGTTGATATATTGGCATCCAAAAACCACTCGAGATCAAGCGATCTGTACAATAGGCTTTGTTAATTTCCATTAAAATAGGACTCATATTTCATTATTTTTAATGATTCTTTGCGTACGTAAGGTACTCTGAAGGAATGCAAAAATCAAATATTAATTAATAAGGTAATAGCTGTTAATTATTAATGCAAATATTAACTCCCGACAAATTATTTTAGCTATTATCTGATGCTTATTACATATGTTTTGTATTGAATTGATCATTTTTCTGCAGTAATCTTTTTCAGGTAGTATCTTATGCTCTGACGTTGTCCCATTCTACGAACAAAGAGCATGAAGCATTTTCTGTTGCAGTGCGTGCCTACTGTGCATGGTTGAACGCACTGTCGAAAGGTACAGTAGCGCATCTTCCTGGCCCGATGAAGCGCAATCCTGAAAACTATATATGGTTTGTCTCATTCTTATAATCTTTTTTTTCTGTTTTACTAAAGATTGTGTTCTATTATTATGTTTCATCGATCAGTTATTGTCGCTGTGTTTTATGGATAATTTAAGGTAACATATAACACTGCTCAAGTAACAGTGATAGTTTTTTTTTTCCCTTTTTGTTTTTCTTAAGTAATGAAATCTCGGCGAATATTTCATGAGTAATATTTTTCCCCAGATTTTTGCATCATCGCGGACACACTGTAGACAAACTTCTGGACAGAAAACTTGTCCAAGTTTCTAGTTTTTTTAAATTTCACAAAGTTCATGAAAGTACTGAAAAAAGTGTAATGTTTTCAAAGTACCAAGGTTTTTTATAACAGTAATAAAAGTTCTAATATTTTACATTACAATAATTATATAATTAAACTATGAATTTTCCGCAATTTAATGATAATTTCTTTGCTTTATGCTTCGTCTACTCCTTTCCTTTATTGGAAATGCATTTTCAGTCGTGTTTGTGTACTCTGATTAGTCATTTGATTTCTTTTTTTCGCAGTTCAATTAAAATATGTCGTTGAAGCATCCTTTTGGATTCATTGCGTATGTTGTTCGTTCGCAAGAATAGTGGATCGGAAACAGGGATAACCGCGACACAACAGGCACACGAAATGGAGAATGTTCTGCGAACGGTTGTTCACAGCTTACTGAATTGTGATAAAAAATACAAAGATGTAATCTGGCCAGCGGTTTTGAAGTTCTTGCTCAATGCCACCGATTTGCTACTTTCGGGACAAACGTGTGTGGGTTGGTTATATGTAGTTGAATTTTGCTTAGAAATTGGTTAGCTGTTAATACTATACGGTATACTTATAATATAATGATAAGTGATATTATGCTCGTCAAAATCACCGCTGGATAAAATGATAAAATTTAAGAAAAAAGTCAAATTTTCATAAAGATTTCATTGAATTATTTTCAGTTAATGTTCATTTCTGCCTTTTACACCATTCTTAACAAAATCAGATTGAAATAGGCACCTTTTAAATATATTCTTGCTTGTTATTTGAAGGTTTTGATAGATTTTCAAGTTGATGTATTTACAGATGATGTCACATTTCTTATGGCTCCAAAAGTCACAAAAACACTTCTTGATATGTTTTTGTGTGCTGCTCGTCTTGAACAAATACCTTCACCGACGTACTGGAAAACACTTTCTTTCCTAAGCAAGCGTTGGCGACATCAGGTTATTATTTGAAGATTTTGATAGATTTTAAAGTTGCTTTATTTATTTGTTTAAGACATTAAAACTGCTGTCAATTATTTTTCTTTCTGTTAATGTGTAATTTAAGTGAAGAGATTTGGTTGGAAAACTTACGCAATAACCTATACAGTGAAGCAGACGGAAATATCAGATTTTGCATTTTCGTTAGTAGATTTCATGTTTCAAAATTGTGATGGATGATTCGTACTATTTATTTGTTAGAAAAAAAAGCTTTAGGTGAGCTTCATCGAGAGTTGGGCAAGGAAGTTGGTTTCATTATCTGTAATAATTGTTCAAGAGATATATGGCGAAAGCTACTGTCCAATTACCATAAGTAATTTTATTTCATTTAATTGAACTGCGAATGATTTGAAAATTATATGAATTATATAGGCGTTGTTGTTAATAATTATATAGGCGTGTTGTTAGTAATTGCTTCATTTCCAGTAGTTATATTTATGGTTTTTATTATAAGATGAATATCATGAATACATAAATTTTGCTAGTTTTAGTTCAGTTTGGCACCTTGAAGTCGTAACATTTTGAAATCTGATTCAATTTCTGATCGCAAGGGAAATGATTAAATTTTTAGCGGATGAAGAAGTAAAATTGTTTGTGGCAAACAGCAAGAAGACTACCGAAAATGATGGTAGTTTGCCAGTGTTGTATGTTTGTTGGTTCCAGCTAATGCATATGATTGGTAATCCAGCATCAATAATTT